AGCCCTCCCCGGAGAGGCTATGGCGTGCGGCTGAACACGGAGCTTGTTAGAGTGTGTTCAGAAACTCGTTGGCGGTGCGCCGTCGTCCCGGTGTGTCGCTGACCTATCATCTCTCCCTGTCACTGACCTGCCGTTCCTCCCCGTCACTGACCTGCCGCCTCTCTCTACCACCGACCTGTCGTCTCTCATTATCACTGACCTGCCGTCTCTCCCTGTCACTGGCCTGCTGTCTCTCCTGGTCACTGACCTGCCGTCTCTCCCCGTCACTGACCTGTCGTCTCTCATTATCACTGACCTACCGTCTCTCCCTGTCACTGACCTGCTGTCTCTCCTGGTCACTGACCTGCCGTCTCTCCTGGTCACTGAACTACCGTCTCTCCTGGTCACTGAACTACCGCCTCTCCCTGTCACTGACCTACCGTCTCTCCTGGTCACTGACCTGCCGTCTCTCCTGGTCACTGATCTGCCGTCTTTCCTGGTCACTGACCTACCGACTCTCCCTGTCACTGACCTGCCGTCTCTCCTGGTTACTTCCCTGTCGTCTCTCCTGGTTACTGACCTGTCGCTTCTCCCTTCCACTGACTTGTCATCTCTCACTGCCACTGACCTGTCCTCTCTCCCCGTCACTGACCTGCTGTCTCTCCGTACACATGGCCTGCCGTCTATCCCCTTTCGCTGGTCTGCCCTCCTTCGTGTGACCGGCCCGCCCTGCTTCATGTCATCGGCCTGCCCTTCTCCGCTCGCTGAGTCGTTTGCCTGTTGCCCCCCCCCCCCCCCCTGTGCCTTTCCCTTTTGTCCGTCACGTCGCGTCGCCGACGCTTGCCACCACTAGAGCGTCCGGTCGCTGTCTTCGCGCCTGTCCCCTGTTGCGCGGCTCGACGTCGGTCTGGGAGCGGGTGGAGCGGGAGCCTCAGCTCCGGTCCCGGACCCAGGCCTGGCCCTGGTCCTGATCCTGGTCCTGGACTTGGTCCTGGTCCTGTTCCTGATCCTGCTACTGTTCTTGTTCCCGGTCCTGGTCCTGGTCCTGGCCTGTCCTGGCCTTGTCCTGACTTGACCTGACCTAGCCCACTCCGGCCGGAGCGGCGCAGCCTGGCGTCCAGCGTGACGGCCGCAGGATCCAGACGATGGCCAGATCCTCCCGGTCAAATCGAAGTCATTACCGATGCCCTGGCAGCATTACTGCTGGAGCGCTAAACTCGGTGGCTTGGTCATAGCTGTGTGTTCATTCATGCATATGTACTTGGTTAATAAAACATTTCCAAATTATGACGGGAATTGGCCCTGTGGTTGAGTAATTAGCTTGAAACAAGCTATCTCATATCGCTGATCGACCGGGTCGGCAGTCATCAATGATTCGGGCATCAAGGGGTATCATTGACTCTTTCTTGCCATCACCATATTCCAATACGGCTCGTTCTGTTTACCTAGAGAAATCGAATATAATTGATTCAGTTGCTTTACATTTGTTTTATATTTTCTGGAGCCATTTCATATTTCGAACGTATGGGGGGAACACCTCGCGTGGTATGCTCTTCTGAAGATGGGTCATCTTCCGTCGCATTAGACGCAGTTAATTGCAAGTTAACGTATCGGTCGAATTGTCCGCGAGGTGCAGTTCGTCCTCATTTCATGGGCGACATAATCTAATTCGACTGTCGACTCATCGCAATGCCGCCGCGTCGTGCTTCGGAGTGCCGTGGAGGCCTTAAATCTCGTAATCGGCCTCGGGGTGCCCTCGAGACCTTGGCTCTCGTGCTCAGCTTCTGAGTGCCCTGGAGGCCTTGACTCCTGTGCCCAGCTTGACTCTGGCACTTAAGCTCCGGAGTGCCCTCGAGACCTTGACTCTCGTGCTCAGCCTCGCTGTGCGTACTCTGCGTTCATTAGCCGCTGCCGACCGACGGACGCGTGATTACGGCCCGGTCCTGACCGGCCACTGCTGACCGACGGACTCGTGATTGCGGTCCGGTCCGGACCGGCCGCTGTCCAGACCGACGGACTCGTGATTACAGCCCGGTCCGGACCGGCCGCTGCCAACCAACGGACTCGTGATTACGGTCCGGTCCGGACCGGCCGCTGCCCAGTCTCACTCGCAGCCAAGCCGGTCCTCTGGCCAGTCACGTGACTTGAAAACTGTGTACGGAATGCCCGTCTGTTGTGAGCGTGTATCGATATTTGTACTTGGATACATGCGTTAGGTGTAGCGTGCATAATATTCCTGTAATACGGGGACGAGACTGCTATAGGTGCGCTCTGATTTTGACCATATAACCCCTTCGATCGCCCGCTTTGTATTGCATGCATGCATGCACGTTTTAAGGGCGATCCAAAGAAACAATGGCTATTAAATCACAAGCCGAAAGGTGCATGAGCAAAATCTACATGCGGACGCACTATTAACAGTCAAGGGCATAACACCCACTCACACGTGAGTCGCAGTTCCTGCCACAACGATTTTATCGGGCTACTCGCTCGCCTTCTACCGTTTTAAAGCAGGTTAGCGCTGGCTTATGGTTTCAACGCTGATATCTCTGGGACATCAGTTTCGTGGACAGCTGGGTGCGCAGCGCGGGTGTTCTCGCGCAATAGCACCTCTTACCAGGCTTAGTTATGGTCCGTGGGACAAGCAGAAGCCCGTACTGTCTGGTGGCCCGCTGACGCATCTTCCCATGTGTTCCCCTTGTCACGGAGGACGCCTGCTAATGAGGAGGCCCCCTCGATTTGGCCGAGGCTCTCTTGACGGACACGTGGGTGTACGGCACGGTACGCCGCTCGCCCACACATGCTTTTGAGTTCGCAGCTGGTTTATGTCGCCAATCGTGACCCATGTCTTACGATGCGTGTGATACGGCTTGTCCCCGTCCCCCGCCAGCTGCGGATCACAGTCTCGATGCGTGTCTCACGGAGTGCTCACCGTGTCCGCCGCCAGCTGCGGATCACAGTCTCAGTGCATGTATCACGGTGTGTTCACCATGTCCGCCGCCAGCTGCGTATCACAGTCTCGATTCGTGTCTCACGGTGTGTGCACTGTGTCCGCTGCCAGCTGCGTATCACAGTCTCGATTCGTGTCTCACGGTGTGTGCACTGTGTCCGCTGCCAGCTGCGGATCACAGTCTCAGTGCGTGTCTCACGGTGTGTTCACCGTGTCCGCCGCCAGCTGCGGATCACAGTCTCGGTGCGTGTCTCACGGTGTGTTCACCGTGTCCGCCGCCAGCTGCGGATCACAGTGCTGGACGTGAACGACCGGGATCCGGCGTTCGAGCGCGCCCTGTACGCCGTGAACGTGTCGGAGGCGGCCGAGCCGGGTGACCGGCTACTGACGGTGAGCGCCGCCGACCCGGACGGCGAGGCGCTGCTCTACTACGGACTGGAGGCGGCGCAGAGCGACCGCTCTCTCCGTCTGTTCAGCATCGACCCCATGACCGGCCAGGTCACCGTGGCCGGACGACTGGACAGGTGAGGTGATCGATTGGGTCAGTCAGGTCACCGTGGCCGGACGACTGGACAGGTGAGGTCATTGGTTTGGGTCGGTCAGGTCACCGTAGCCTGACGACTGGACAGGTGAGGTCATCGGTTGGGTCAGTCAGGTCACCGTGGCCGGACGACTGGACAGATGAAGTCATCAGTTGGGTCAGTCACGTCACCGTGGCCGAGACCGACCAGTTCACCGTGGCGCTCTTAGGCGGATAGCCAGTTAGTTATTGAATTTTGAAGGCGCGGCAACTGCACTGGTTATTTGCGCCAGGGCGGATAGCTAGGCTGAGCCGACAGGCGCTCGGGATGACTGACGTCGGTCCTGCCAGCGACACCTGTCAAATCAGGCGAGAGCCGAGGCTGGGGTCACTGCGCTGAGGTCAGTGTGAACCTGTGGGTGATCACCGAAACAATATTCTGTTCATCGTGTCTGTGCAGCTGCGAAAACGCCTGTCTCTGTTTTACCTCCTTTTTCCTGCCATTTCGGGACACCCGGGATTAAGTCTCAACGCAAAGGCGGCTCTCTCACAATGTGGTGAGGTATCTCTTTCCTGGTCGTGCTGCAACGCGACGCGTTACAACGCACACACAGAACAACGCGAGCCAGCTCCTTTTCGCTTTTTTGCAGGTTGTGTCTGACAATATGCTACCATCTTACCTCACCGCGTGAGCGCGGCCTTGAGTGCCCCCGTGTCTGTTTCTGTTGTCAGAGTGACCGCGGTGTTTGCAGTTGTGCCGTCCTACAACTTGACAACGAATTCCTCCTCCTCCCCCTCCTGACTGTATTCTGGCACGATGCCACCGTGTTCTTAACCACCCCTCATGCTGTGCTGTGCAATCGTATAACGAACTAGTATATGCTACACAACGCAAGTAGACAGCGGCTGACACGTCTCACCCGTTCGGCCGCAGGGAGACGGAGCACGAGCACGTGCTGACGGTGTCGGTGCGGGACCAGGGCACGCCGGCGCGCCGTGACTACGCCCGCCTGCTGGTGCACGTGCAGGACGAGAACGACCATCGCCCGCAGTTCCTCAGCGACCTGGTGGTGGGCCAGGTGCACGAGACGGCGCCGGTCGGCTGGCAAGTGGTCACCGTGCTGGCCACCGACCGCGACCACGGCCAGAACGCCCGCATCACCTACTCCATACTGTCAGGTAGGCCACCCCGCTGTGACGTCGCGTCTGTTGTGGTCATCCTCCACACCGTGCTGTCAGGTATGCCCACTTCCTGATGGGATGCCGTGATCAGGCCCCTGCCAAGGGACTGTTGGGCGTGCCCTGATCGCCGGCCACGTCCTCTGGGTATGCCAACTCCGCTTTAGCAGGCATGTCGTGGTCATCGGCACCATACTGCCAGGCATGTTACATCCGCACTGTCAGCTGTGTTATGGTCACCCGCTGTACGCTGTCAGGCATGCTGCCTCCGCACTGTCAGGCATAGGTACGCCCTGGTCATCCACTCCGTATTCTTAGGTTCGCTCGGCCCACACGGTCACGCATCAGGCATACGTAAACGGCTGTTAGGTATAATGTATTAATCCTGCCACCCACCTCAAACCATCAGGTATGATTTTCCATGTTGCTTGGCATACATAGGCCTCCTCTCTTATTCTGGCAGGTGTCCTCGCTCCATAATGCCGGGCATGTCTTGATCATCCTCCACGAGTGGTTCGCTTACCGTCTGATTATCGATTATCTGATGCAGCGGTGAAGTCAACTTGTTTTTGGTTCACTCTTCTCCCAACACTTCCTATCATCATGTTCCACGATAAGCCCTTGGCAGACCAACTCACATCATTACGCATGTCAAATGAAATAAGAGTCACTGGTTGAAGGTGTCATTCCTCTTGGTGTAGTACATCATCTGAAATGCGGTAAAAACAAAGCCATATGGCTTACGTTGAGGAGAGCGTAAAATGAACCAATCGGTTTCTCAACAATGCACACGCCTCGCAGACAACGCCATGTTTCGCACGTTTCATTTTCTCAGCGTCCGCTGATCGACAGTGTTCCGAACGGAGAAATGTGACACTTGAGCACTCCACAACGGGATACCAGCCCGGCTGTGCTGGCCCCAACCCACCTCATGTCTCCAGACACCTCCTGTGCAAACACCTCCCCCTCAGCTGCACCACTCCGTCGGCGAACGCGCTTCGCCGCCCACCGAGTGCTCCAGCCGATGCCGGCCTTGATGGTCGACGCCCACAAACCCGATTTACCGGCTATTTTCGAGATGCAGACGGCGCCGTTGATGTTCGCCGTGGCGATGGCCTGATGTGCGGCATAGTCGTCAGCGGGGCTGACGGAGGGGGGGGGGGGAGGGGGTGGTAGCTGATCGCATTATCCTGTCAGTGACGAATGTGAGTGCAGAAAGTGTCGCTGAGAGAAGCTCGAGATGATTCCGGACCGCTCTCGAGGATATCGTACACACGTCTAGAAAGTCTGCAGAGGGGCGGGAGGCCTCGCTCCGTTGGAGCGGCTGCTGCTTTCAGTCTTCGCCCCGTTGAAGATCCCTCTCCGTTATTTTGACGGTTCTTACCCGCTCCGTTAACAGACTTCTCTGTTGAAGGCAGGTCTCCGTTTCATCGGTATGTCTCTGGGCTCCATGGGTACTTTTTATATTTGCTGACGGCCGTCCCCGACCCGGGTGAACGATCTCTCTCGCCCCGCGGAGTCACCAGCGTCGGGGTCAGACGACGAGCCGAGCCGGTCGACCGGCTGCTGACCTGACAGCAGTGTTCGCTGGACCTGAACAGGGCTGCACGGACCTCATGGTCCCTCGTGGATCCGAGCAGGCGACGGTCGCCTCTCGCTCAGGGGGTGGTCGAGGTCTCGCGCCGACCGGCAGCGAAGCTGAGGCTGTCGTGCTCCTTTGTGATCCCGAAGACCCGGCGCTCACCGTCCAGCTGCGCAACAGCCGATGGACGGCCGCCTCTTCCGCCGCGTCACTTGGCGCGCGCCGGCCTCGCGCTCCGGGACCATTTTCGACACACCTAACAGCCTGCGGCGCCAGCGATGGCGTCATGTGTTGGCTTTGCAAGTGCCACTTACCCGGCACGACCGGCCACGGTTGACATTTTGTCACGAGGACACTAATCCGATCAGGGTCGCGCGGCGTGCTATTGGAAAATGGAGCGTTGGAAAGTTAGCGCCCGCCTCTGCTAACACATTGGCGCGCTGAACGATGGACCGATTCAATTACCCAATTGTGTGGCAGTGCCTGAAAATGAGAGTCTGGCGACATTTGAGGCATTGCAGTTTTCGGCTCGGCTTGCTTTAACTTGCCGCGGCTCAGTACGTGGTCAGGGAGACCAGTTCGGATGAACACAAACAGGCACGCGGCCTATTGGCATCGGTCTAGTCGGGGTCCTCTTTCACGCTTATGTGACTCACTAGAATGTTGCTGGCATGGAAACTTCCTTGAGTTGGAAATGTTTTGTGTTCGGTCACGGATACGCGACTAAAATTAGTAAGTGCAAAAGCGATCAGCTGGCGAAACTACTGTGGAACAGCAATCGAGTGGGCTCTCTCGAACACCTTCGATTTCTGGCGTTTCGGTCAGCACCAGGTCGGGGATTGGCGAGCTCGGGGAACAGCATGTATAGTCCACAGTTGTTGGCTCGGCGCGAACGGATGGACCGGACTCTTAAGTCATCATACTCAGATCATTTTCTCAAAAAGGGTCATTTGCAGTGGGCCGTGAAGTGGCCCGGGTGCGTCACGCCAGAATGGTTGATCCCGTCGTTTTGGTTGTACTTGCATTCCCCATGTGTGGCAGAGTGTAGCGACAGGGCCAGACCACTGGCGGAGAAGTGGACATTGGTATTCAGCCTGCCTCTTTGCTGCTGCAGCGAGAACCGTTTTAGATGCAGTACAAGGATGCGTGCAAACCTCCGAATCCGGAAGTCTTTGGACCACTTCTGGCATTCCTGGCACATGGAGCACGTCGGCTTTTCCTCTCAGTCAAGCCCTCCTCCTTGGGGAAAAGGTCAAACAAAATCCTGTGATCGCACCGGACCCGCTATGGCGATAAGTCAGGTCAGGTCAGATCTCAGGTCCCAGAACGGGTCGAACGTTGTGGACACGTGGTCACAGGCTGTGCGCGGCAGCGTGGACCTGAGCGGTCTGATGGACAGGTCAATGGACTTGAAATTTTCCAGGAACACGGAACGCTCCCAGGCCTCCAGTTTGGCTGGCACTGAGGGTGTCATTAATGGCGGTGGTTATGGGTTTGGGTGGTTGCTGATGCAGTTAACGTCCTTATGCAAGTGCTCCAGCAGGTATTTGAGGAATGCCTGTTGTCGATAGCGTATGAATCGCGCCGCGAGCTTCTGGAACTGTGCCTTCAATGAGGAGGTGGTCAGCGCCCGGTCAACCTCATCTGAGCTCTTCCACAGAGTTTGCATCAGTGTGGCAAGTTCCTTTATGAATGCGCTCTCCATGGCGGTGATGGTTATGTTGACGTTTCTCGAGTACTCGTCCCGCAGGATGGAGTGACGCGGGATGGACACGCAGGACATGGAGACTAGTCTGGCTGAAGCTGCGCTCGCGGTTGGGGTGCTCTCCGCTTTGTAGGACGGCGAGAGCAAACCATTGCGGACACCGCCAACCGGACAGGTCCGGCGAAGTGGTAAACCAAGGAGCATCGAGGGCTGGACTGGACTAGTGAATCCGTGATGGGTGGAACACGGTGTTGGTGTTGGCTGATGGGAGAAGCTCGTAGGACTGTCTGTTTAGATGTACTGGCGGAAGTGGGCGCCGAACTGCTAAGGTATGTATGGGCGTGTTGCCCTAGCGGGAATGAGTGGTAGGATCACCGGGTGAGACTACGATCACATGAACTGGTGAGGCTGGTTGGCGGGATCAACCACTGGGATTGGACAGCGAGATGAACCCGTGAGACTTGGTGCTGGTATGAAATGGTTGGTGTAGGTGGGAGGTACTAGTGTGGTAAGCACCGTCACCATCATCACCACCGTCATACTTACAGCTCATGCATGAGTGGTATAGCTCTTCGTTCTTTCGCATCCGGAGCTTTGATCACAAACGCATGATTAACCGGAGAACAGTGAACACTCGCGCGCACGCACACGCGTATGCGCACATTGACATCCACGCACGCACACCCACACGCGTGCACGCACACCCACGCACGCACACCCACACGTGCACATTTTCCTCGCACCCGATCTCTGACGGGTAGCGTACCCGTCCAATCCAATCCGAAAGTATTAACGCGTTCGTCTACCCTAATCTCTTCCGTATAAACCCGTGGCGTATCCGCGCGATAGGTGGTACTTCAGGGAAGCAGACATGATAGCCCGCCAGTGTGGCGGGCTGGCGTCTACCGGCGCCGTGCAAGGGGGTCGCTGGCTCTTCTGCTCTGCCTGGGCCGAAGGCGTTATCTCGGGAACCTCTTCTGTCAGTCGCCGGTAGCAAGGTTTGAGGCAGTCCATGAGTGCTGGAAGCATGGCACGTGCCTGAATGCCGATCACGGAATGGGACCGGTACTGCTGCCTTCCAGCTTGTCTCAGGAAGGGGCTGGTACTGCTGCCTTCCAGCCGATCTCGGGATGGGGCCGGTACTGCTGTCTGCCAGCCGATCCCGAGATGGGGCCGGTACTGCTGCCTTCCAGCCGATCTCGAGATGGGGCCGTTACTGCTGCCTTCCCAACGATCACGAGGTGGGGCTGGTACTGTTGTCTTCCGGCTGATCTCGAGATGGGGCCGGTACTGTTGTCTTCTGGCCGATCTCGAGATGGGGCCGGTACTGTTGTCTTCCGGCCGATCTCGAGATGGGGCCGTTACTGCTGCCTTCCCAACGATCACGAGGTGGGGCTGGTACTGTTGTCTTCCGGCCGATCTCGAGATGGGGCCGGTACTGTTGCCTTCCGGCCGATCTCGAGATGGGGCCGGTACTGTTGTCTTCCGGCCGATCTCGAGATGGGGCCGGTACTGTTGTCTTCCGACCGATCTCGAGATGGGGCCGGTACCGTTGTCTTCCGGCCGATCTCGAGATGGGGCCGGTACTGTTGTCTTCCGGCCGATCTCGAGATGGGCCGGTACTGTTGTCTTCCGGCCGATCTCGAGATGGGACCGGTACTGCTGTCTTCCAGCGGATCTCGAGATGGGGCTGGTACTGCTGTCTTCCAGCGGATCTCGAGATGGGGCCGGTACTGCTGTCTTCCGGCCGATCACGAATTGGGGCTGATACTGCTGCGTTCCAGCCGCAGCGCTCGTCGGAAGCTTTATATTGATAGTTCATTAGTTAATTATTTTTAGCATAAGCGAAGGTTAGAGGAAAAACAACGGACAAATGTTCCAATGTTGACGCCAGTGCTATCGCTCATACCTTTTGCGCTTTCCTCACATTTTCCTCGCATCTTTGCCAAGTAACGTATGTTGTCAACAGCCAAGAAGTGCAGCAGTTAAGTGGACCACCCCATTTCATTATTTTTCTGATTTACCTCACTTAGTGGGTGTGGTTGTCAACAGCATGTTACTGCAGAGGTGAAACCAACTTTGTTTCTCTTCATTGCGGAAATTTGGCTCGCTGTTTCGTTGGTTTATTGGCGGTCGTAAATTTTCCGCCGCCTGCGAAATTTAGCTTGCTGCCGCCTCGGTGCTGTTTTAATGCGATGCATCAATCCTGTCGTTCTCTTGTTTTTAACGGCGTCGCGTTCAGCCACCCGCCCCCAATGTGCATCAGTAAAGTGGATCTGTCGAACAAATACCGCGGCTCATCAATTCCCATCACGGCCGATGCTCATCTACAGAGCTGTGATGAAGATGAAGCGGTCCTGTTGATAGTTCATTAGAGGCAGATAATTGACCTGTGGAACTCTGACTTTGCTGTAGTTCAAGGCTGCAGTGAAAGCGTCTTACTCGTTTGGCCAACAGGCGTTTACTATGATTGGTTCCAATACATTTGCTCAACGGTAACAAAAGAAAAGAAAAACAAAAATACAACTTGATTGCATACCGGAGCAATTAAGCGATCTTTTGTAGTTGTTCCCCGTGTTTTCACTGTCGGTCTTGCGGTTCGGCTTAGAGACATCGTCCTACAATGCCGCCAGCCTTGCCTGTCCCTGCTTATGTAAGCTCCATACTTAACCCATTTCGGTTTCTGCGCGTACATTATGCGTGTGTTATCCTATCGCCATGCCAGGTTGTGCATCCCTGCCCGCCTCCGTCCTGGTCTCCGTGTGGTATGGTGCACTCCGCTAACACCTGACGTCTACGTCCGCCGCCGCCAGGTAACGTGGACAACGCGTTCGCGGTGGACCCGGTGCTGGGCACCATCTCGGTGGCCACCGGGCTGGACCAGCGGCGCGCCAGCGAGTACATCCTAACGGTGCGCGCCAGCGACGCCGGCCGGCCGCCGCTGCACGGCGACGTCCACGTCAACGTGCTCGTCACGCTGCCCGACAACGCGCCGCCCCGCTTCGAGAAGGTCAGTGCGCATCGCCCCGCTTCGAGCAGGTCAGCGCTCACCGCCCCGCTTCGAGGGGGCCATGCGTACCACCCCGCTTCGAGAAGGTCAGTGCGCATCGCTCCGCTTCGAGGTCAGTGCGCACCGCCCCGCTTCGAGAAGGCCAGTGCGCACCGCCCCACTTCGAGAAGGTCAGTGCGCACCGACCCGCTTCGAGAAGGTCTGTGCGCACCGCCCCGCTTCGAGAAGGTCAGTGCGCACCGCCCCGCTTCGAGCAGGTCAGTGCGCACCGCCCCGCTTCGAGAAGCACTGCGCACCGCCCGGCTTCGAGAAGGTCTGTGCGCACCGCATGGCACTACGGCGGACAGCAGTTAAGGGTAGACCGCGGTTTTGTGGTCAGTGAGATGTCATGCTTGAGGAGGTGTTTTGAGTTTGCCCTAGCTTTAGTAGCCGGTAATTGATTAATGTTACATGTCATCAGAGCTGGCAAAGGCTGATGATTGTGCATTTTATCAGATTTCGTGACCGAGTTAACTAAGGATTTCATTACAGCTGTGATAACTTGTGGTCGTTTTTGTGATTAGTTGCTGTTAAATTCCCTCGAATTCGATCTAGGCTGCAGGCTTACCACAGATTGGAATTTTCACTTGTGTGGCAAAGGTCTGCAAAAAAAAATCGTTTAGGTACAGCAATATGAAGGCTTACAAAATACTAGAGTTAAAAATCGCACGGTCAAAGTCTGCAAACCTTTTCTTAAGATGCTTTTTATTTCAGTGAAGTGATGTGTCACCGAACAAATTATGCATGAGTTCGTTTTGCCTAATTACATACGCTATGGAATGCTATCTCGATTTCTAGTTGACACAAATGCTACCGCAAACATCCTTTTGTTGAACGTTCTGGCGTTCTCAACCAGCTAGCTCCTAGCGAGCTCCGCACTTTTCTCGGGCTGATTAACGGTTTCTCGCTGGCCGAACGTGAAACGAACAATGAACGTCGTCGCCGGGCATGAGAAGCCTTTTACGAGCCAAGTGCGGCCGACGGTCAGGCCGATTGTTAATCGATGCTCAAATTGCCGCATTACTGGCCTCTCAAGGTCTGTCAGGAGCCGCGAGCTGCGCCGCGCCCATCCCCGCCAGTCGGCCCCCTCTTACCCGGGGTGACTCCGCGCAGCTGTCGACGGCGGTGAGAGGCGCCGCGGCCCATCCCCGCCAGTCGGCCCCTCTCACCCGGGGTGACTCCACGCGGCTGTCGACGGCGGTGAGAGGCGCCGCGGCCCATCCCCGCGAGTCGTCCCCTCTCACCCGGGGGTGACTCCGTGTGGCTGTCGGCGGCGATGAGAGGTGCCGTGGCCCATCCCCGCCTGTCGGCCCCCTCTCACCCGGGGTGACTCTGCGCGGGTCGTCGGTGGCGGTGAGAGGCGCCGTGCCCATCCCCGCTAGTCGGCCCCCTCTCACCCGGGGTGACTCCGCGCGGGCTGTCGGCGGCGGTGAGAGGTGCCGCGGCCCATCCCTACCAGTCGGCCCCTCTCACCCGGGGTGACTCTGCGCGGTCGTCGGTGGCGGTGAGAGGCGCCGCACCCATCCCCGCCAGTCGGCCCCTCTCACCCGGGGCTGACTCCGCGCGATCGTGGTGGCGGCAAGGGACGAGTGTGGATCAGGAACAGTGTTTTTTTTTATCGTATTTCGTCGCGAGGACCAAGTGAGAGCCAGCGCGTGCAGTGTACTCTTTGACAGCGCAAGTGGTCCCTTGGAGGGTTGCAGTGTTCTTCCCCTGTTGGGCTCAAACAACGGGCTCACGTGGTACTGGATCGCGCTTCGAGTGGAAGGATATGCTTTCAGCTTTTTCCATGGAAATCTGTCACTTTGAGAACGGATAAAGGCATGATATGTTGCGCTGAATAGACAAATCACCTGGCTGTCGGTCATACTAATCGAAATCGGCTTGTCCGTGGCCGTGACCGAACCAGCCGTCGTGTGCGATTTCCCCTGACGGATATTTCAGCATTCGCGAGGCCATACCAAAATGCGTAAGGGGAGTCTATCTTAGCAAGACTCTTGAAATAGTCGGCGATGGGCAGAGACCAGAGCTTGCTTGCAAGTAGCTACTCCAGAGTTGCTATCGTTATTTCTTTACGGCCCACGTCGCTTGCGGCGGAGAATATTCACCACCGTACAGATGCCGCAGCTGTTGCTCAGACGCGCGCGGCGGAGCTTGTGCATATTTGGGAACTATTTGACTGTGATGTGAATATGGGAGCGACGGAAGCTCAACTGGTTTGAGCTTTCAGTCCAACCCTATCCACTGCGAATGATCAACATGGAGTAATGCAGCGAAGAAATGCAGAACAATTTCGACGTGAAACGTTAAAGAGTAACGCGCTGCTCCCGAGCATGTCCTCTTTTCGTTATTGGCTGGCTCCCTGGGAACAACCCCTATAAACTTCGATAAACTTAAATGAATGGTGGTACGCTGTTGACCTGTCGTCACTGAACATGGCTAATTTCTGACGTGTTAAATTATGTAAGGAATATTCTGACCAGATGGCTTTTGAATCCACTGGTATTCCCGGTGAAAAATACAATGGAAACCGTACGCACGCGCATAGTATGGACGCCGCGGACGGCTTCCGAAGTCAGTTTTAAAGCCACGTCCGCAGTCTGCCGCCTGCTGCGCCGAGTTGGCCGTCGGGAGACAGAGCGCCGTAATCGCAGCGAGCTGAATGGTCCGCGATCTGTTCGTCTTCTGCGGCTGACATTTTTATCCGCCGGTGCCGGGCGACGGGCCTTCTGACAGGCCAGGAAGTTATCAGAAACTTCGTTTGTAAATCTAATCTTCAAGGGGGAAGTTTTTCAGCTCGAAGACTTCCCTGTTTCCGTTCGCAAGATCAATAGGCCATCTGATGCCGCATTGGCAGAGACTGTTTTCAGCTATGGGGAACAATGCGTCGGCGTCCACGGCGCTGACTATAGGATGAAAGGAGCTCTGGCCAAGGAGAGTGGGATGAAAGGATGGCGAGGATGGAAAAAGATCCTCCAGACGAAAGCCCCTGCAGGCTACATTGGACGTCATCTGCAGAGCTCATTGGCTTTGTGTGCACGGCTCAGATAGCTGCGTCGGCCACTAGCGTATCTGAAATGCCTTCTCACGTTATGGACCGTAGCCGGCCGAGTGCGGTGCTGAGGTGGAGGACTGCAGAACTCCGGGCGCTGGCGTGTTGTCCGTGTCCACTGCTGCAGGCAGAGTACGGCGCTGAGGTGGAGGACTACAGAATCCCGGGCGCTGACGTGTTGTCCGTGTCCACCGCTGCAGGCAGAGTACGGCGATGAGGTGGAGGAGGACAGGCCCCAGGGCTCCCACGTGCTGGACGTGGTGGCCCACTGCCGGACTTCAGTGACCTACCGTCTGGTGGGAGGCAATGAGGACGGCTCGTTCCTGCTGAACCCTGGCGCCGGGGTGCTCACCGTCAGCGAGAGACTCGACTACGAGCGCCGCACCTGGTACAACCTGTCCATACAAGCCGTCAGCATGGTGAGAGTTCGCGTGACTGCGAGCGCCGCACCTGGTACAACCTGTCCATACAAGCCGTCAGCATGGTGAGAGTTTGCGTGACTACGAGCGCCGCACCTGGTACAACCTGTCCGTACAGGCCGTCAGCATGGTGAGAACTTCGTTGGCGGTTTTGGAATTCCAAGTCCCAACGCTCGTTGGCGCTCAGTTCACTGGACGGATAGGCGGGCGGAACTTACCAGACGTGCCAATGATGCTGTCAAGTGCGTGGGTTAGCTTTGGTGACCGACACCGTACATTGATATCCTGATGACTTTTAAATGGCATTTGCTGCCCCATTTGTAGGAACATGAACTCCACACTGTATCAAGTTGTGTTATTTCCACAAACGGGTGAAGCACCCTAATCGTGTGCCGTTACTCAGTGGCCTCCAACGCACATCTCACTCGTGACCATCTCCTCTGTCGGATGAGGTGGCCCACACGAGCGGCATTATAACCAGAGGTCTGATCCCGTCTGACCTGTGTGCCGTCCCCTCCAGGTGGGCGAGGTGGCCCACATGAACGTCATCATACCATAACCTCTAACTGACCCCGGCTGACCTGTGTACCGTCCCCTCCACACGAGCGTCATCATACCCTGACCTCTAACTGACCCCGGCTGACCTGCGTACCGTCCCCTCCACACGAGCGTCATCATACCCTGACCCCTACTGACCCCGGCTGACCTGCGTGCCGTTCCCTCCACACGAGCGTCATCATACCCTGACCCCTACTGACCCCGGCTGACCTGTGTGCCGTCCCTTCCAGGTGGGCGAGGTGGCCCACACGAGCGTCATCAAACCCTGACCTCTGACTGACCCCGGCTGACCTGTGTACCGTCCCCTCCACACGAGCGTCATCATACCCTGACCTCTAACTGACCCCGGCTGACCTGTGTGCCGTCCCCTCCAGGTGGGCGAGGTGGCCCACACGAGCGTCATCGTGCACGTGCTGGACGTGAACGACAACCGTCCGCGGCTGGCGCGGCCACGTTACGCCGGCCGGGTGCGCGAGTCGGCGCCGGTCGGCTCGGCCGTGCTGGCCGACGACGGCCGGCCGCTGGTGGTGGCCGCTGTTGACCTGGACGACAACAGCAACGGCCGGCTGCTGTTCAACATCGTGGAGACGGCCGCCCGCCAGTTCCTGCAGATCGACCCCCGACTCCGGTGAGAGTGGCCGGAGTGTGCCGGCGGTGCGAGGCAACTGAACACTGTCGCGGCTCATGTGCTGGTTTGGAGTCGTTGTCCGGCCTCGGGCTGTACCGGCTCCGTCCGCTAACGCGTGTGCTGCACAGGTGCCCTGAGGACCGCCGGCGCGCTGGACCACGAGAGCCGGTCCCAGCTGGAGTTCACGGTGGACGTCTGGGACCGCGGTCAGCCCCCGTCTGCAGGCGGCCAGGCCGGCCCGCGTCACCGTCGCCGTGTTCGACGTCAACGATGAGCCGCCCCGCTTCGCGCACGCGCAGTACAACTTCACCGTGCTGACGCCCAGCTACGACGGCGTGGAGGTCGGCACCGTGCAGGCCTCCGACCCGGACACGCAGAACATCAGGTAACAATGCAGGCCTCCGGCCCGGATATGCAGAACATTGGGTAACAGTGCAGGCCTCCGACCTGGACACGCCGCAGAACACTAGGTAACAGTGCAGGCCTCCGACCCGAACACGCAGAACATCAGGTAACAGTGCAGGCCTCCGACTCGGACACGCAGAGCATCAGGTAACAGCGCAGGCCTCCGACCTGGACACGCCGCAGAACACTAGGTAACAGGGCAGGCCTCCGACCCGGACACGCAGAGCATCAGGAAACAGTGCAGGCCTCCGACCCGGACACGCAGAGCATCAGGTAACAGTGCAGGCCTCTGACCCGGACATGCAGAGCATCAGGGAACAGTGCAGGCCTCCGACCCGGACACGCAGAGCATCAGGTAACAGTGCATGCCTCCAATAGTGCAGCCTCCTACCTGGACGCGCAGAACACCAGGTAGCAGTGCAGGCCTCCGACCCAGACACGCAGAACATGAGGTATCCGTGCAGGCCTCCAACCCAGACACGTAGAACACCAGGTAATTCATGCGATAATGCTTGGGTCCTACCGCGAAGAACGTTTGCATTGTACACGACCGGTCACCATCTTTGTGTTTTCATTGTTCAAACAGCGGAGCACGCTTTGGTTTCGGGAACGCGCTGTTTGTATACGGGGCGTGATGCTGAGCAACGAATCACAGCCTCCAAAGGTTGCTTGGCAGACTTTCTGTGCTCTCTGACTCCGCCCCGCCTCCAGCTATTCGCTTACCCTCCTCCCGCCCCAGTTACTTGCTGATCCTCTGCCCCGTTCCCAGCTCTTCGCTGGCCCTTCTCCTGTTCCCAGCTACTCACTGACCCTCCGCCCCGTTCGCAGCTACTCGCTGACCCTCTGTCCTGTCCCCAGCTACTCGCTGACCCTCTGCCCCGTCCCCAGCTACTCGCTGACTGCTTGCCCTGTCACCAGCTGCTCACTGACCGTCTGCCCCGTCCCCAGCTACTCGCTGACGGGCGCCGACGCGGCGCTGTTCTCGCTGGCCGCCGACACGGGCTCGCTGCGCCTGCTGCGCGGTGAGACGGTGCCGCCGCTGGCCAACGTGACCGTGCACGCGTCGGACGGGCCGCACCGCGCCGCCGCCCTGGTGCTGGTGCGCAGCCGCCAGGTGGCCAGTCGTGGCCTGGTGTTCTCCAGCGACCAGTTCTACGGCACCGTGCGCGAGAACACGACTCGCGTCGACATCGTGGCCTCGCTGTCCGTGCGAGGCAACCAGCTGATGGAGCACCTCGCCTTCCGCATCCTCAACCCCTCCGAGTACTTCGTGAGTGATGGCGCGAGGTGGTGGTGGTCCGAGCATTTGGCATCACCGACGGCTTTTAGTGGGTGTTGTGTCCAGTGTGTATGTCCAGGGTGGACGGTGCTGGTCCGTATATCTCGCTGAGAGGCAATAATTCCTGATTTTACGACACATTGTCAAAATGTGGCTTCTAACATGGACTCCATAGGCTTATGCGGTGCGACGTAGTAGTGCTTGTAAATGCTACCGACGTTTGTGGGTCCTGAAAGGTGCTATTTGGAATCGCGATTTTCTGCTCATCTGAGCATAGAGCCGACAAGCACTGATCAGTCGCTAGTTCCAAGGCACCGAATTCCTTGTTTATAAGATGCTGGCTCTCTAGCGTCGGCTCTGAACGTTATATGACGCCTATTGTTGGGGGCGTTTCAACGGCCGACAACTGGGGTAAATGATCCAAGGGGCGTCGTTTTAAACGTCGCTGATGCCGCAAAAAAGCTTTTGAAGCCCCCGGTGTGACGTATGTATGGTGTTGGGGCAGAGCTAACTTGCATATCGGAGCAGATCACTCGCCAAGGTTTTACATTATGTGAAGCATTACGACGCTGTTCTGCACCGCCACCACACCAGGTTCATGGACTACTCACTGCACTGTTATGACCGCACCGTTCAGAGGCCTGCCCTGAGCATGACTTGGTTCGGAAGTGTGCGTTGACGTTTGATTAACGTTGCGATGTCATTCATCCCATTAGCTTGTGCGGCCTCAGTTTTGCGCTTTGGTTGATAACGGCTTTACAGCCGGCTACTGCAGAATATTAACCAGTTGAATCCTCGAACTCTGAATATGTTTTCGTAGTCGTGACGCGGGATCTGACTGACTCGCCATAGTTACCACTGGCTTTGGCGGGAAAATCCCCCGCGAATTGTACTGGCGGGTTCCATGGCTTCAAGGCCGAATTGCCCACCGTTCTGGGAGGAGCGTTTCTGAAAGGTCGAAGCGCTCCGTGGTCAGTCCATTCTGTGCCATCTTCTGTTCCAATAACGGTGGCTTTCATCTGGTCTGACAGCATATTAACGAGTCAGCCCCGCCTATACAGTTGTATGGACAGCCTTTGAGTCAGTCCATCCCACCGTGCAACAAGACGGCGGGCGCTGTTCGGAACCGTCTCTCTGTGAGTGATCCTCTTGTGACGGTGTCCCCCACAGAGCATCAGCGAGACGGCTGGCGTGGTGCGCACCACGGGTGTGGCGCTGGACCGGGAGCAGCAGGAGCAGCACGTGCTGGCCGTAGAGGTGCGCAGCGACAGGACGGCCGGGTGGCGCACACACTGCTGCACGTGACCGTCATGGACGACAACGACAACCGGCCCGTGTTCGTCAACCAGCCGTATCACGCCGTCGTGCCCGTCGAGGCCACCGTCGGAGCTCCTGTCACCAAGGTGAGAACACTGAGCAGGGGCTGGCTGGTTGCTACTGGTCGAAGCTCCAGTCACCAAGGTGAGAACACTGAGCAGGGGCTGACTGGTGAGAACACTGAGCAGGGGCGGACTGGTCATTTCCACTCGAAGATCATTTTGGAGACGTCTGGCTACCGTGAAGGGTTTGTCCCATGCAAAGCACTTCCAATAGGCTACGATTCGCACTAGTGATGGACGTAAAGCCGTCTTAATCATGACATAATATCGTGTTTTGTGACAGGACGTTAGAAAGAACGTTGGTGATGCGACATGATATAGTCTGGCATAACATCATAATGTGAGAGGCCATGCCACGACGCGTAATGCCGTGATATGACGCGGCATTTGGCGCGTCACTCCCCGCCGTCATGCGCCACTCTGTGACGCGCCGGGGTCGCAGGTGACGGCGATCGACGCTGACCTGGGCGACAACGGCCGGGTGCACTATGACCTGCTGCGGGGCAACGGCGACCTGTTCGCGGTGGACCTGCTGAGCGGGGCTGTGACGCTGCGCCGCTCGCCGCGCGGCCTCGACACCGCCTTCAGGCTGGTCGTCACTGCCTACGACGGAGGTAGGCAGGTCACCAACGTGTGCGACAGTTCCGCTGTGCTGTTTGGAATGTGGCAATGTAAAGTGTGTTTTTCCCCGCTGAAAATGCGTTTATTTTGCCTGCATGTTTTTAGGGATATGCCATTGCTGGGATCGTCGTTTTCATTCATTTTTAAGTCCATTTTCTTACCACACAACGCAGCCAGCACTCGAATGTTAGTGTTGTGGCGTCGATAGCAGCCTTGCAACAACAGCATGTGATCACATATTGCTTCACCATTAGGCTGTCTGAATGCCAAACACGTTTAGCTTTGACAAAAAAAAGAATATCCATCAACCTGACGGAACTTTCTGAACGCCCTTCTGGAACTGTCTCTGGCTGGAGGAGTGGTTGAATATTTCGAGGTTAGATAAACTGGAACTTGAAAGCACAACACTATTAATGAGGTCCTTCTGCCTTTCTTGCCTCGCAGAAATTGAGTTGCAAATCTGCTTGAGCTTTCTTCTTTACTCACATTTGCTCAATGCCGAAATTCATGCTCACATGACAGGGCTCAATGCGCTGTCGCTCTGTAGAGCTTAGCACACCACTTGATGGTGAGACAAGTCTCAGATTTGCAATAGCATTCTCATTAACGGATTATCAATGACAATCAGCATATGGCCTGTTTGTGCTGTGGTTTTTTGTGTTGTTCTAACTCGTTAGGAACCCATCTTCTATCTGTTCTTTTTACGTGAACATTGTCAGTGCCCTTAGCCTGGGCAATTGAATCGCTGCGAACGGTTGAGTGGTGGTTCGACTTTTTATATGTACCGATGGTGACAATGCCCGAGTTTCTATAACCGACGCCCCTCCCGTGTCCACCGTCTCCGTGTCGGAAGTGCAGCTGGTGACACCGCGTGCCCTCTCCATCACAGATGTCCGTCTCTGTGACAGGCCCCCTTCTCCCCTCTCCTCGGAGGTACCGCTGGTGACGCTGTCCGTCTCTGCGACAGGATCTCCTCCCTTCTCCTCGGAGGTACCGTTGGTGACGCTGTCCGTCTCTATGACAGGCTCGCCTCCCCTCTCCTCGGAGGCGGAGGTATTGGTGACAACCGTGGACGGCAGTCAGCCCCGCTTCTCCCAGCCGCACTACTGGGCCCGCGTGGCCGAGTCGGCCGAGCGGCGCACGCCCGTGCTGACGCTGGAGGCGGACGCCCCGTCCGCCTCCAGCCTGGTGTTCCAGCTCACAGAGCCGGCCGTCGACTCCATGTTCGCCGTAGACTTCACCACCGGTGTGTATCGGGCAGGCACATGACATGGCCACCTGAAAAGGCCGGCACACACCGGCTGGTGCCTTTTGAAGTACTTTGGGTTAGTTGAGGTGTTTTGACAGAGCGTTTGTCGTAGTTCTGAAACTGTCAAGCCCATCAGGAGGATACGCGTCACCAGTGTCAGGAAAGTCACCACCCGGGGAAGTTGGCCAAACCCGTCCTGGGCAAACTGCAAGAGTATCGACTCATGCGCGATGTCCCAGGCGTTCTGTACGTGGCTGGTGAGCTGGACTACGAGACCCGGCCGCGCTACGAGCTGATGGTGTCGGCCACGGACCGGGTCACGGGGTCAATGACCTCTGTGCCGGTCACGGTGAACGTCACGGACGTCAACGACAACGCGCCTCAGTTCGAGCGGTCGGTTTACAACGTGACGGCCAGCGAGGCGGCCCACCCCGGCCTGAAGCTGCTGCACGTGAAGGTCACGGACCGGGACCAGGGTGAGGACCACCGACGAAGGAAGTGGTCACGGTCCGGAACGAGGGTAGGAACCACCAACCGAGGGAATGGATCACGGACCGGGACCAGCGTAAGGACCACCGACCAAGGGAAGGGATCACGGAACGGGACCAGCGTAAGGACCACCGACCGGGGGAAGGGATCACGGACCGGGACCAGCGTAAGGACCACCGACCAAGGGAAGGGATTACAGACCGGGACCATGGTGAGGATCAACAACCAACGGAAGGGATCACGGACCGGAACCATGGCGAGGATCACCGACCAAGGGAAGGGATAATAAACGGGCACCAGGCTGGGGACCACAGACTTAGGGAGATCTCAGACCGGTATCAGTGTTGGGAACACGGTTTTCTTTGCTGACTCCTGATTGTCAGTTGAGGCCAAGCAGGCGCCATGTTGTGCCCGCAGATAATTTGAGTCCCGGCCGAACAGACGAAAGTAATCAGAGCTCCGGCTTCTAGTCCCAGGGGTTGTTCCAGGCGTCTGGGCTGTGGCCCAGTTCTGAACAGATCCATCAGCGAGGGACGCGTCAAGCACCTGTCGGAAACTTGAAGAATGGAGTTCGTAATTGGAGTGAATTATCGCTGTAATAATAAAAGAGTAATTTCAGTGTGCATTTTTGAGTTCATTCTTTCGTAGCTATGTAAGACACGCGTTATATGCAGTGTTAAGCCTGCGCTTGTTACAATTTAGTTAAGTAAGCCTAGATTGAGATGGCCTAAGAATCAAACGCATCGCGTGTGCTCGCCTGATGGTAACCGCGCCTGTGTTTGTCGTCCAGAGGACGACCAGCCGCTAAGCTTCCGTGTCCAGGAGGCGGACGGCTCGGAGAGCTTCCTGTTCCACATGACGTCCGACGGCTCCCTGGCCGTCACCAGCTACCTGGACTTCGAGCAGCGGGCCGCTGCACCAGCTGGTGATGACCGTCTCCGACGACGGCTCGCCGCCGCTCACCGGCACCGCGCTGCTCACCGTCAACGGTGAGAACACGCCGCTCTCCCGACACGGGGGTGACGTTACTGGCCGGCGGCGTTCGGTGCTCACCGTCAACGGTGAGAACACGCCGCTCTCCCGACACGGGGTGACGTCACTGGCCGGCGGCGTTCGGTGCTCACCGTCAACGGTTAGAACACGCCACTGAAAATACTTGGGTGACGCTGCGTATCGCTGACGGTTGATGCTGCTCCACCCGCCGTCAACCATTCATGACACGGTATTAAATGTTAACTGTTCATTCATGTTTTTCACTACGCATTTCATCGCCGGAAACGCGTGAAATGTTATTGATACTTGGGCATGCTCAATAAACCAACTTCTAAAGACGACACATCAAAACGCATTTCTGGCATCCCTCAAATTTGTAAAGTAGGTTGCCCGGGCATTCTCAAAAAACGACATTCAGACAGTATCTTTGTGGAGTGTTGTGGATGTGGTAGGAGTAATCCTTAAAAATACTGAAGGCACTCCGGGCTTTGCTCTAACGGGCTAGCAGCTCGTGTGGCCCCGTACACAAGAGAACAGCTTCTGCAGCGGCGCAAAATTCACTGCAAACCGTAGACATATGACAGACACGGGATGATCTAAAATTTTCGCAGAACTCGCGCAAAACTCAGGACGCTTCACGCGTCAAAGTATTCCGAATCATTCGAAGTTGTCAGGACACGCTTGGCGCTGATTGAAGAACTTCACGTGCGTTTGAAACTGCGTGCGCCAGTGGTCCGCGGTGACCCGTGGACGTCGTGCGGACCGCGCGGCCCGAAAGTTTTGTCAAAGTCGTCCACAGGACGGGCTACGACTGTCCGCTGAAACAGCCTGTCGATGGGCGAGGGCTGACGGCGACCCGCCGCCACAACGGAGCACTGACCTCCCCATGTGGGGGCGTGTGGGCTGAAGAGGTCGGCTGTCAGTCAGACTTGTCGGTGTCAGGGGGTATTCTTGTCAGGCTGAACCGGCCATCTCTCGATGGAACGGCTTGCTGTCTGCGACGGAGACGTTCCAGTGTGAAATGAGTTTCGCACAAGTTTAGTTCGTCTTAATGAACGCGAACGCTCGTGGAACTTTAAATTAACACGCGCCTTTGAAAGAAGTGGCTGTTCTGGCTAGCCCGCTTCCATGTTGTTCTCGGATCTTTGGTTTACAGTTTCCGTTCAGGTAGCGAATTGCAACCTGTGGAAGGGTTAAGTGTCGTTCTTCCTCTGGGCGTCGATTGGTGCTTGTGTTCAGAACGCTGTCGCAAGGTTTGCACAGTTTTGATATATTTTAGCTCATACCCTTGCGCTTTGTGTGCTGTAAGGCTTATACATCCAAAATAGATGATCCGGAGGTCCAGGGTTAGCGTGGTAAACCCGTTTTAGATAGATCTGAAAGATAACATAACCTTAATGCACTTAACATCTTTTCCAGACCTTTATACAGCAACTTGTCATAGAAAAACATGTACGGAATAATGGTAAAATATCAGCTGACAATTTCAGCTTTATCCGTCAATGCATGCAAACGGAAACAGGGTGGAGACCTTAACTAACGGCCGTCAGAGCCTCCACTGAAACGCCTATCCTGATCTGGACGTAACCTACGGTTTAAGCTCATCCTCTTTCCATCGCGGGTCTACGATAAAAAAATCATGAAGTTGGGGTATGTGGGAGTGGGCGCCTGTTTTTATCATTCGTTCATAGTTGTGGTCTTTGCCTGTTCACAGTGGAGGACGTGAACGACAACGTGCCGGTGTTCGACCGGGCCAGCTACGCGTGCGAGCTGACGGAGCTGCCGTCGCGAGGACAGTTTGTCACCATGGTGAAGGCGCACGACCCGGACCCCACCGACCAGCTCGTCTACCGCATCGCTGACGGCAACGACCGCCAGCTGTTCTACATCAACAGGCGCACAGGTAAATGGCAGCGACAGTACAGTCACGGGCGCACAGGTAAATGGCAGGGACAGTACAGTCACGGACACACAGGTAAATGGCAGCGACAGTACAGTCACGGGCACACAGGTAAATGGCAGGGACAGTACGGTCGCAGGCACACAGGTAAATGGCGGAGACAGTACAGTCACGGGCACACAGGCAAATTGCGGGGACAGTACAGTCACGGGCACACAGGTAAATGGCAGGGACAGTACAGTCACGGGCGCACAGGTAAATGGCAGGGACAGTACAGTCACGGGCACACAGGTAAATGGCAGGGACAGTACAGTCACGGACACACAGGTAAATGGCAGGGACAGTACAGTCACGGGCACACAGGTAAATGGCAGGGACAGTACAATCACGGACACCCAGGTAAATGGCAGCGACAGTACAGTCACGGGCACACAGGTAAATGGCAGGGACAGTACGGTCGCAGGCACGCAGGTAAATGGCGGAGACAGTACAGTCACGGGCACACAGGTAAATGGCAGGGACAGTACAGTCACGGGCACACAGGTAAATGGCAGGGACAGTACAGTCACGGGCACACAGGTAAATGGCAGGGACAGTACAGTCACGGGCACACAGGTAAATGGCAGGGACAGTTATGGCGCACAGGCAGAGGCAGGCTCACTATATGGGCTGCGCTCAGGTAGGCGGCAGACTAACTATACCGACGAGTGCTCAGGAAGGCGGCAGGTTCACATTACCGGCAGGTACGCAGATAGGCAGCAGGCACTTCGTCTCCAAGTATGTCCTTACCAAACCCACGGGGTTTAGAGCAAATCCAATGAAGTGATGTCACTCAGAAGGAATGGAGCAGTGCCGGTCGCGCAGAAGCTGGGCGCAGCATTCAAAGGCGGTAGGCGAGCATCCAATGCGCGGTCTGCACGGTGTCGGGCCGTGGCCGTTGTCATGCCCACAATGTGAACGCCCAATACCGGCTTGTGATCCAGTTCCTTGTTTTATTATTAGGTGCGTCATTCGCGCAAACTGATGACGCTTGCTGCGTATAATTCGTTTTCATACTTGGAAATGCAGCCGTTGTCAGTGGCAGAGTAGCAGAGCGATTCACCGCGAGATGAATTGTCGCTTAAATCCCGGGGAGCCCCACCAACCAATTCGACGCGCTGCCGTCCAATGGACTAATGTGCTGAGCGGTGTTCTCAGTTCAGTGGACTGGAACATTGGGCCGCTCCGAGGAAGGCTTTATTTGGCCAGGTAACCGTTGGAAGTTGTCTGGATCATTGTCTGGGTCTTCATCGGGGTCAGGCGTCTCACCGTAAAGACGCGCGCAGTGAGCAGCCTGCGGTGGTTTCCCGTGAGGGGGGGGGGCGGCTCCCCCTTCTGAAGCGGCCCGTCGTCGCGCGCTCTGGATGGGGATCTGCCGTTTGTAGAGCTGTGGACAGGGTCACCGCGAGGACGGTGGTCTCGGTATCTTGCCGGCGCCGCTTGCCCGGCCGCGACTCGTGCACAACGCTGAGAGATACAACACGAACACCTGAACCTGTTGATCGGGGTGCAGAACTGTGTGCTAGCACCTGAATACCGTGCTTTGCATAAGACGTAATAAAAGGCATGGGTGAGGACACATACACTTGGACAGCGCTTCCCTAGGGCTTGATGGAACCACGTGGTAAAGGGATAGCGGGCGAGTTGTGGAGCGTGCTAGATCCAGTCTGGGCCACCGTGGTGGGGCGGGGAGCAGGGGCTGGGTCTGACTGTAACTCGAGAGTGTGCTGTTCACGGCTCTTTCAGCACTGCCCTGCCTGCTGAGGGGGCTCGTAGGTCTGGCCTCGGAGAATGTGGGTCGGTGCCCCGCGGTGCCGACGGTGACTGAGGCGTCACGTTTGTCTCGGCGCCGCAGCTGTGACGGCTCCTCTGTATAACGCCCGAGATGAATGCCCGCTCGCCGTAATGTGGAGCACAGCTGGCTGATGGCTGCCATCAGCGTGTAAACCGTGACTCTCCTCTGTACCGGTGCCGTGTGAGGGGAATGTGACGCGTCACTCTGTGTCTTGCCGTCAGCGAGCAGACCGTGACCCTCCTCCGTACCGGTGCTGTGTGAACGCGAACTGTGTGAAGGTGAACGTGACACGTCACTCCGTGTCCTGCCGCCAGCGAGCAGACCGTGACCCTCCTCCGTACCGGTGCCGTGTGAGGGGAACGTGACGCGTCACTCTGTGTCTCCCGCAGGCGTCATCACGGTGGCCAATATCCGGGCGTTCGACGAGTCGCCCCAGTACCAGCTGAACATAACCGCCGCCGACGGTATTCACCACACCTACGTGCCCCTGACGGTCCGACTGATGCCCGCTAACAAGGTGACTGCCGCTCAGAAGCGCCCCTGCAGCAACAGTGTATCACACGTGCAATATGATGACAGCGGTGCTGCTGGCTGGCCGAGATAATGTCGCGGGCCGTCAGTTTAGTGTGTGCCGTGGAAGGCCGGGCTTGAAGGGTCTTGCATCAAGTTGTCATCGATTGAACGCGCCGGTGTGTTGTCTCGACATAGACCCGCCACGCACTGAAATGTTCTTCCCTTCCAGCATGCGCCCGCATTTGAGAAGGTCGCCTACGAGGTGGACCTGAGTGAAGACGTGGCCAGCGGCACTCCGGTGACCCAGGTCAAGGCATATGACCCAGACAGGGGTCCCCTGGGTCAGGTGGTGTACAGCATTCCTTCCGATCGATGGAGAGAAGTATTCAGCATCAACGCTTCAACCGGTGGGTGGCTGTCATCCTTCCGTTAGAAGTCCTGCCACAGATTTCTGACATCGCGTCCGGTCATTTTTAGGGAATGTAGATCTCAAGAGAAATCGGAGGCCTTTATCTGCATCGCAATCGTTCCGGATGTTTTCGAAGGCTCTGGGGCATGGCGGAACCCACCCCTTGCTTGGAATTGAGTTAACGGGGAGCATGACCGGAACAGGGAGTAATTGGCTACTTCCATAGGTTACGAGACAGCCCGGTGCTAAACCTTCCCGTCTGGACCGGTGCTGTGTTGTGTACAGGCGTGATCAGCAACCCTCAGCGGCTGAATCGTGAGATGGAGCCGGTGCTGAGCTGCCCGTGTGAACTGGTGCTGCGCTGTGTACAGGCGTGATCAGCACCCGTCAGCGGTTGGACCGTGAGACGGAGCCGGTGCTGAAGCTGCCCGTGGGAACTTATGCTGTGTTGTGTACAGGTGTGATCAGCACCGGTCAGCGGCTGGACCGTGAGACGGAGCCGGTGCTGAAGCTTCCCGTGTGAACTGGTGCTGTGTTGCGTACAGGCGTGATCAGCACCCGTCAGCGACTGGACCGTGAGACGGAGCCGGTGCTGGAGCTGCCCGTGTGGGCCACGGACGGTGGTCACCGGGTCGGATCACACCACAGTCAAGGTCCGGCTGTCGGACGTCAACGACAACGCGCCCCGCTTCCAGCTGGCTCAGTACCGGGCCGTCGTGGCGGCCAACCTCACGGCCGGAGACGTCGTCTGCAAGGTGAGCATGAGCCTGTCCCCGTATGGACGGGTTGTCAGCGGCCAGTGCAAGGTGAGCCTGAGTCCGTCCCCGGCTGGACCGCGTTGTCAGCGGCCAGTGCAAGTTGAGCATAAGCTTGTCCCCCGGCTGGATGAGTGTCAGCGGCCAGTGCAAGGCGAGCCTGAGCCTGTCCGCCGGCGCGACGGTGTGGCGGTGGCCAGTGGACCGCATTGACGCTGAGGTGCTGAACCATTCGCTTACCTGCCATTGTGGTTCGCTATTCTAGTGATTGACCGACGTGAGCTCGCAATGATTACGCCTTGTGGTTGGCATCTGTGGTGGTCGGGTGTGGCTTGTTTCTTGTATTCTCATTGGTCGGCGGTCCGCCAGGTGACGGCGTACGACTCGGACGAAGGAGACAACGCCAGAATCGCGTACAGCATCTTCGAGACGGAGGTGTCGGACATCAGGAAGGCCTTGGATATCGACTCGGAGACGGGAGAGATCATTCTGATGCAGCAACCAAACCAGCTTGGTGAGCAGTTCCACCCGCCGGCTGTAGCAGTGACTAGAGCTCGATTGGGAACTTAAGTTGTCTCGACGTATGGGTAATCAAATTTGTCGGTGTATGTTCCTTGAGAACATTTAAGATGGTCCGTTGCTTCTCGGATAATTGTCCATCTAAAATGAGTTGGGTATTATGCTCAAGAGCTGTCACAGACGTTGTCCATACTCACAGCTGAGTGGGTTGTAATGTTGCATGTTCAAGCACGCCTGCGCTGTTTTCGATCAGAAAAAAGCGTTTCTCGCAAACCGGTCCTCGATGCGCGGCGCAACTGGTGACCGGTGGCGCCTCTGTTGGCAGAGAGTCCGGTATACCAGTTGTTCGTGCGGGCGACAGATGGCGGCAGTGAGCGGCTGGTGGCCGACGTCCCGGTGGACGTGGTCGTGTTGCCAGACAGCGAGGGCATGCCCGTGTTTGACCCGCTGCTGTCGGGGCCACAGGGTGTGTTTCTCACCGAGAGTGACCCAGTTGGTAAGTGATGCATGGCAGTGTGAACAAGGTGAAGCATATTAGGCATGTTTGCACAGTTCTTTCTTCCAGGTAAGCCTCTCTTGGTTGAATATTTATCACCCTCTGCAGCTGTGGCTTAAGTAGCAGGTTTGACCACTGAATGGAGCCCGTGTCGTGACAGTGTACCTGTCCCAGTGACGTATGTCCGGTTATTCCGCAGGTACCCGCATCACGTCAGTCCGGGTCCGCGGCGGCGGTACGGTGACGTACTCGGTGGCCTCGATCCACGAGATGCCGTCAGCGGACATGTTGAAGTGGACGCGGACGGACAGCTGGTCCTGGCCAAGAGTCTCGACCGGGAGGCCGTGGACAGGTGGGTCAAACAGCTATAGACTTCGGGTCCGGAGTATGATGTTAATGGAACTATTTGCGAGCAGTGCACGCTTCCACTTTCAGGCTTGGTAAGATTGGTAAGATTTAGCATCAATCGGTGGTTATTTTGGGTTGTTGGACGTCATTCATGAGCTTTAAAAATGGGGCACACTTAGCTAATTTCTCAATGATTTTGTCATGCTATTCGAGGCAAGCATGTCGCGGCGAATGCGATAGCATTCACATTTGACACATCGCTTACCTTCGCGATACCTCGCGCCTGCACTCCAGTGCCCGCGCACTGGACGTGGGTGCAGGCATTGGGCCACGATGCGTCGTGCGTTGGACGCTTCTAATGCGTTCCCTGACGCTCTGTTCCGTTGCGTCAGGTACAACATCACGATCGCAGCTCAGACCGATTCTCTACCGCCGCTGGTCGCCTACTCCCACCTGATGTGTCTGTGATGGACGACAACGACAACCGATCCCGTGTTTTGATGCAGACGTGTACCGCGGTACCGTCAGAGAGGGTCTGCCGGCCGGTACCAGGGCTCTGCAGGGTACGTCAGAGGTGTGACAGGTACCGTTAGAGGTAGTCTGCCGGCCGGTACCAGAGCTCTACAGGTACGTCAGAGGTGTACCAGGTACCGTCAGAGAGGGTCTGCCGGCCGGTACCAGGGTTCTGCAGGGTAAATCGGAAGTGTACCAGGTACCCTTAGAGGTAATCTGCCGGCCGGTACCAGGGGTCTACAGGGTACGTCAGAGGTGTGCGAGGGTATTGTCAGAGAGGGTATCGTCTTTTACCAGGTTTATCAGTTCTGTGTGGGGCCAGCTGTGTGCACCCCTTTCCATTGCATCAGTGTTGTGTGTTCGTGTGTGACCTGGCTGCGCCCGTCCCCAGTGTCGGCGGTCGACCCGGACGTGGGTGCCAACGGCCAGGTGCGCTACCAGCTGGCACGCCGACTCTAGCCACCTGCACGCACTGCTGGCGGTGGACGAACGGTCTGGCTGGGTGACCACGCTGCGGCCGCTGGACCGCGAGACGACAGACACCTACCGGCTGACGGTGGTGGCCGCCGACGGAGGTAACTAGGGATACCCCACAACGCAGTCGGAACGACACAGAGCATGCATGGAATAGGGAGTACGTTGCGGAGGCTGGTGGCGATCGTCAACTACACGTTTCACTAGAGGGGGGACTTGTGAGGTTGGTTTGAGACCTGTGACCTGAGTGACCTGACCCGGTGTGCCCCGCCAGGGTCGCCTCGTCGCTCGTCACGGCCAGTCTGGTGATCTCGGTGGGCCGACTACAACGACTCGCCGCCCCCCCCGTGTTCGCTCAGCAGCGGTACGCGGCCGTCGTTAATGAGGACGCCCTGCCGCGCACCTCCATCATGAGCCTGACGACTGATGACGCCGACCTGCTCTCGGCGCCCGTCCACTTCTACATCACTGACGGAGACCCGCACGCCCCGCTTCGAGGTCAGAGCATGCCCGTTCAGCGGTTGTCAGTGGTGATACAGGCGCCCAGTGGCGTGTTAGTGGCGCTAGAGACCCGTTGCGGCGTGTTAGTGGCACACAGACCCCCTCTGGCGTGTCAATGGCGTTACAGACCCCCTCTGGCGTGTATGCGCCGTCCTCAAGCTCTGACGAGCATTGTTTGAAAAACTGTTTGCGTGATACTTAGGTCACAGATCATGTGTGCTCATTGTGTTCTAATTGTGACAGGCCGCGCCAGTGCATGGGTGATCTGAAGCTCTCACACTGGCACTTTGCGTAAAGTTCCCAGTTTTTAACGGGTGGCGTCACCCGAGTTTTGACAGATGTGACTCTCCTCCCACTGAAAACGTGCATATGATCCCTAGATGGTGACGAGCGGCGTCACCAGAGGCTTAAAAGATATGACTTCCCCCACTGACGAACGTGCACATGATCTCCAGCTTGTGACGAGCGACGACACCAGAGGTTTGAAAGACGTGACTCTCCCCCACTAACGACATGCACGTGGTCCCCAGATTGTGACGAGCGGCGCCAACAGCGGCGAGCTGTTCGTGCTAAACGCCCTTGGACCGTGAGACCGTGCCCAGCTACGACCTGACGGTGACAGCCACCGACGGCTCTCTGGTGGCCACCACCCGGCTACACCTGGATGTGCTCGACGCCAACGGTCAGTCTCCTCCGCCAGCACTCGGATGTGCTGACAACGCCTCTAAAGACACTATCCCTGGGCATAGGCTGGGTAAATATCACCGATTGAGATTGTGTTGGGTTTTTGGCATGGAAGCTCTTTGAGCTTCATGTCTAATTGTGTAACTCAACGTGCGAAGCTGGTGGTTGATTCTTGCTCCGTTGTGTTTTTAACAAAATAGGGATCAAGCTGCAGAACATTGTGCTGGCTGTGTGGCACCGTTATGAATGCCGTTATCCTAGTCTGGTCATGTCCGTCCTCATGTAATACAACGTGGCGGCACGTGACCACGCCGTGCGGTGTTCCAGACAACCCACCCGTGTGTGAGGAGGAGGAGTACGCGGTCACGCTCAGCGAGGCGGCCCCTCCCACCACGTGCTGACCGTCCGGGCTCATGACCTGGACGACAGCAGGAACGGTCGGCTCCGGTACTACCTGACCGGCGGCGGCGCCGACGACTTCGCCATCGACCCGGCTCTAGGTCAGCTGACGGCCGAGTTGTTTCCGGTGACGTCATTTGTACCCGGACTGGTTGAAGGAATGGCGAAGCTGTCGCTGAGGCAGTCGCTATGTGCGTTGAAGCGTCTTCTAAGTGCGTCTTGTCGTCGATGCCCTCTCACGCTTGGTTTGTCTCTTCACCATTGATGCTGCCATGCTGGCCATCAGTTCATGTTCACATAAGGTATTATTGTGTGGCCCTACGTTATGACCGTCATCTGGTCTGCTTGGCGTGCGTTCTGATGTCGCACCAGGCCGCCCTGACCCTGACCTGACCTGACGCCTTGTGCCATGGCCAGGTCACGTGCGCGTGTCGGGCCTCGCTGGACCGCGAGTCCCGGCCCGTCTACCGCCTGACGGCGCACGTGCAGGACCGCGGCCGCGCCGAGTGGGAGTGCACCAGCGTGCTGACTGTCACACTGGAGGACGTCAACGACTGCGCGCCCAGCTTCGCCCCGCCCGTGCTGTCGCTGACGGTGCCCGAGGACACGGCCGTCGGCACCATCCTGGGACGGCTGGACGTCCGTGATGATGACCTGGGTCAGTACAGACACAGACCACAACATTCTGGAACGGGCTGGATGTCCGTGACGATAACATGGGGCAGTACAGACACGGACCACACTATCCTGGGACGGCTGGACGTCCGTGACGATGACCTGGGGTCAGTACATACACGGACCACACCATCATGGTATGGCTGGACTGTAGTCTTATGTTGTTCTTGTGCGCTTCGGTTCAGGCCGGCCGTACTTGGTTTGATATACTAGCCTGTCCCCATGCACTCTGTTTGGCTTAAGTCAGGCAGACTACCCCCGGGTGCTGTTCTCAGGCGTGTGTACCGATCTTGGCCACAGACTGACTGTAGGTACTCGGTGTGCCGTTCTCAAGGCGTGTGCACCGATCCTGGCCACAGTCTGACTGTAGAGACCGTGCCGTTCCCAGGCCTGTCGGCCGAACTGGAGTACAGTCTGGTGGAGGAGGACGACGACGACGCCCGGCTGCTGCTGGACCCGAGGACGGGCGTGCTGACTCTGGGACGGCCGCTGGACCGGGAACAGCAGGCCATGTTCAACATCAGCGTGCGAGCCACGGATGGCGGCACACCCCAGCTGTCCAGCACCGCCACAGTCATACTGCTAGTGCAGGGTACGTTTGTCTGCGCTGTGAGAAAGATTACAGCCATATTGCTGGTGCAGGGTACGTCTGCCTGTGCTGTGAGCAGGGTTACAGTCATACTGCTGGTGCAGGGTACGCCTGCTTGTGTTGTGAAAAGGGTTACTGTCATGCTTCTTACGCAGGGTGCGTCTTACAGTGTTGTCAGATAAGGCTATTTTCGCATCTTTGTTTTAGCATTTTTTCGATATCGGGTGATGTGTGTGGTGGTAATTTATCGGCTCTTCGTCAAGGCTGACATTTGTTTGAAATGCTCACAGACGTGAACGACAACGCGCCCGAGTTTACCAAGAAGTTGTACCACGCGACGGCATTGGAAAAACACCACTGTTGGGACAGAGGTTCTCAAACTTCTGGCCACCTCGAGGGACTCTGGTGTCAATGCCGAGATCAGCTACAGCATCATTGGCGGCAACGAACACAACATGTTCCAGATCAAACCCTAAAACAGGCACGTGCTTATCAGCATTTTAGTCGCCTGTGTTGTACTTTAAGGCGGGTATAGGAGCACATGGCGACACATGTGCGTTTTCTAACAGGTATTGTGTCGGTGAGGTCCCACCTGGACTTTGAGCGTACCCGGGAGTACCTAGTGACCCCTGCGTGTGCTCCGACAGGTATTGTGTCGGTGAGGTCCCAGCTGGACTTTGAGCGTACCCGGGAGTACCTAGTGACCCAGGCGTGTGCTCCGACAGGTATTGTGTCGGTGAGGTCCCGGCTAGACTTTGAGCGTACCCGGGAGTACATTGTGGCCCCGGTGTGTGTGTTCCGACAGGTATTGTGTTGGCGAGGTCCCAGCTGACTTTGAGCGAGCTGGGAGTACTTGGTGACCCCTGTGTGTGTTCCGACAGGTATTGTGTCGGTGATGTTCGAGCTGGACTTTGAGCGAGCTGGGGAGTACGTGGTGACCCCTGTGTGTGTTCCGACAGGTATTGTGTCGGTGATGTCCGAGCTGGACTTTGAGCGAGCCAGAGAGTACATGGTGACGGTGGAGGCCCGGGACGGCGGCATTCCGCCGCTCAGCAACCACGCCACCGTCAACATCACCGTGCTCGACTGCAACGACAACGCGCCGGTGTTCGGGCAGGAGGTGTACAGCGCTGTTATCCGCGAGGATGTGGCCACAGGAGAGCGCCTTCTGCAGGTATGTCCACTGCTGGTGCCACGGAAAATCTTGTGACGTCACAGAAATGTGTGTCGTCTGAAGCAGTTGATCGTTAGCTTGACTAAGGACGCGGGAGACGTTTGTGTTTATCTGTGTGTTGTGTTGAACGTGTGTTGCTGGATCTTTTTCAATTCCGCTGGTTAGACATTTGCATGTGACCACCACAGTGTAGGCCAGTCCAGCAGTGTTGATGTGGTTTGCCTGGCGCAGTGTCGTGCCGGGTTACCATATTCGCGCTCCCTGTCCGCTTGCCGGAGAAAAGAAAGCAGCAGCCCCTTCAGGCAACCTAGCCCGAAGTCACGTCATGAGCCATATTGTGAGCCTGCGCTCACCAGCCGACAGCCCATACTGATATCTGTCCGGCCTGCCCTGTTGAGCCGGGTGGGGGAGCCGCGCTGGGAGTGCACTGTGCTGTGGCCGACACAGCGCAGCACCAGGTGCGCCGGATGTGGCCTGACCGGCACGCCGCGTCGCCAGGTGCACGCGGCTGACCTGGACTCGGGCGCCAACGCTCGGGTGCGTTACTCGGTGACCGGCGGTGACCAGCACAGCCAGTTTGCCATGGACGCCGACTCGGGCTACCTCTATGTCGCCACGCAGCTCGACAGAGAAATGGTGCGTAGGCTGGTGATACGGAGCCAAAGTAGCGAGGCCAGTTCTGATAAAATATGTTTAGCTGCAGTGGGCAACTGACGCATGAACATGACGACATTTTCTATTGTCTCATCATATGTTGCGGGTAAGTCGACCCGGTTGTATGATGTGACAATGGAAATGTGACAGTCGGACGGGTTTTGTTTGGACTTAGTCCGAATCTTTTGATTGGATGGATTTCTGCGGCCAGTGCCCACGCTAAGCGCTGGCTGTTTAATGAGCCGCCCTGACTCCACCATCCGATTGTGGGATCTTGTAGCGAAAGCTGCACGTGCCTTGATGATGATGACTTGGGCTACAGGGCGCGGCGACTACATTTTTTATTTGGCGCTCATGTTGTACGTGCCTTAATGACGAGCACGGGCGCTCTACCCTCCAACGTTACCTAACCTTTGGAATGGCCGCTGCTGCCTGTTCCATCATATTCTCGGGCAAAAGTTGAGCGCCCAAGCCACTGAAGCCCACTACCAAGGGCAGATGCATCGGAAGGCAGACGCTCCAACCAACTGAGCCACCGGGATTGACAAGTTATACTATAACCGAGTGCATATCGTGAAATGCTTCCTACAATACGTTAGGGCGCGCAACCGAGCGGCACATATCGGACCCGAACTGACAGCTGACGCTCACCAGTGGAAGGGCTCGACATGCATTTGAGGTTCACGCTTCAGCTGACGCTCACCAGTGGTAGGGTTTTAACGTGCATTTGAGGTTTACGCCTCAGCTGACGCTCACCAGTGGAAGGGTTTAACGTGCATTTGAGGTTCACCGCCTCAGCTGACGCTCACCAGTGGAAGGGTTTAACGTGCATTTGAGGTTCACGCCTCAGCTGACGCTCACCAGTGGTAGGGTTTAACGTGCATTTGAGGTTCACGCCTCAGCTGACGCCCGCCAGTGGTAGGGCTCGGCATGCATTTGACATTCACGCCTCAGCTGACGCTCACCAGTGGTAGGGTTTAACATGCATTTGAGGTTTACGCCTCAGCTGACGCTCACCAGTGGAAGGGTTTAACGTGCATTTGAGGTTCACGCCTCAGCTGACGCTCACCAGTGGTAGGGCTCGGCATGCATTTGACATTCACGCCTCAGCTGACGCTCACCAGTGGTAGGGCTCGACATGCATTTGAGGCTCACGCCTCAGCTGACGCTCACCTGTGGTAGGGCTCGACATGCATTTGAGGTTCACGCCTCGGTGCTTCGCGGCTCGCTTCTCGCCCCTCGGCTCCACGGTGCCGGTATGTCCGGAGGTGTCAGGCGAATTGATCAAAGCAGCTGGAGCCGACACGTGCTCTGGTTGCAACAGACAGGGGTTGCGCCGGGCTGTGCAGAGGCTGTACAGTACCTGACACACGTTTTATCCAAGGATTGTACTGCAATAGTGGTCGATGACGTTCTACACCTGAATTTCGTCAAGGGTTGTGAGCAGTTTCAATTATGTCTTGAACGTGCTCATTTCCACACGTTGCTGTCGCGTTACGCCTTATTGTTTGGGGCAGGTGTCCAGCTACAGTCTGGATGTGACGGCGACGGATGGCGGCGATCCCTCGCTCAGCTCGTCCGCCCAGATCAACGTCCACGTCAGCGACGCCAACGACAACCCGCCAGTCTTCTCTCAGTCTCGCTACAGCGCCATTATTCAGGTGAGGTCTGATGAAGAAGCAGTGTGGCAATACGATACAGTGTATGTGTGCCCTGCATCATTTTCCCGCTGGTGGCACTTCAACAAAACCAATCCGCTCATGTTTTACGTACATGTTCGTATTACTTTGGTGTTACCGGGAGACTAAACAAGCGGGTTGGGAGGAAACTCAGCAGATTCTATTAGTTGCTAATCGTCCTATAAGCCTCATCGATCTTTGCATACCTGGGCAGCCTCGGCAACTTTCCCTGGAACGAACGCCCTTGTTTTCTTCTGGAAAGATTGACACCTTGTCTCAACTATTCCAACCATCATCTTCTGCTGTCCAACCAGTTGACATGTTGTCTGGAGAGTTCCTTCCTCTCTCGCCTCAGGAGGATAAGCCTCCTGCTTTAAGCTGCTGCTGTTCCTCCAGTTGATATGTGGTCTGGAGGGCTCTTCCCTCCCTCCCTCGCCGCAGGAGGATAGGCCCCCCGACTACCAGCTGCTGCTGTTCCCCCCAGTTGATATGTGGTCTGAAGAGTTCCTTTCTCCCCCCCCCCCCCTCTCTCTCTCTCTCTCTCTCGCCGCAGGAGGACAAGCTCACGGCCATCCGATGCTGCTGTCCCCCCAGTTGATATGTTGCCTGAAGAGCTCCTCCCTCTCTGGCCGCAGGAGGATAAGCCTCCCGGCCACCCGCTGCTGCTGCTCTCCCCAGTTGATATGTTGTCTGAAGAGTTCCTCCCTCTCTCGCCGCAGGAGGATAAGCCTCCCGGCCACCCGATGCTGCTGTTCTCTGTGACGGATGCTGACGAGGATCCGAACGCCGGCCCGTTCACGTTCGAGGTGGCCGAGGGCAACGGCGGCAACTGGTTTGTGATCACGGCCGGCGGACAGTTGCGCACGGCCGCCAAGTTTGACCACCGGCTGCGCAACTCGTACAAGCTGCTGGTGCGCGTCTACGACAACGGTGATGACGTGCGCTTCTCCGAGACCTGGGTCGACGTCAAGGTCAGTCAAAGGGACGTTGGGATTTTCTAATGCAGTGATAGAGGACACCTTTGTTTTTGCACGGTCCGGCTTGAAGAACTATGTGTAAAATATTCGTAACGGTATTTGGTCATAGACGCAACATTCCCACAGCCGTACAACGTCCCGAACGATTCGTAAGCTGGAATGTCAGGGCTTTGGCCATTTTCGACAAATGGTTGAATATTCGTGTCACATACGGCACATTATCGAAGAGCTGGACAGTGGTTTGCCATTCGCTTCATAGGCAACCGAGGGTCGTACCAATCTGCTGACCCTTGGCGTGCTGCGTTGCAGATAATCGAGGAGCCGCAGTACCCGCCGGTGCTGATCCCGCTGCACGTGTCGATCCAGTCGTACCAGGACAGCTTCCCGGGCGCCGTGGTGGGTCGCGTGCACGCCTCCGACCAGGACCCGTACGACCGGCTGCAGTTCGGCCTGGTGGCCGGCCAGGCCGGCCTCGAGCGCCTGTTCGAGCTGGACCCGGACGACGGCTCGCTGGTGACGCTGGCCGGCATTGACGCCGGATTGTACCGGCTGAACGTGTCCGTGACGGACGGCAAGTTCACCAGCCACCACGGCCGTGACGGTGGATGTGAGCGAAATCACGGACCAGATGGCGCGTCACGCCGTCTCCGTGACGCTGGCCAGCCTCCACGCCGCGAGCGTTCGTGCTGAGCTACATGAAGCCGTTCCGGCGCGCGCTGCGCAAGCAGCTGAAGGTGCGCGCTAAGGACGTGCTGATTCTGAGCGTGCAGCCGGCGGCGGCGGGCGGCCGGCGGCGCAGCCGGGCCGCCCGGCCGGCGGACCTGGCCGTGCTGCTGGCCGTGCGGCGCGGCCCGGCCTGGATGGAGGCGGCCGTGGTGCGGCGCCGGCTGCTGGCCGGCCGCGCCGCCGTCAGCCGCCTGCTGGCCGTGCCGCTGCTGGCTGTCGATGAGGACGGCTGTCAGGCGACGCCCTGCCTGCACGGCAACTGCAGCGACGTGGCCGTGTTCGACGACGAGCTGGTGGTGAGCGTGGCCACGGACGTGGTCAGCTTCGTCTCCGCCGCAGCACAGCCGCCAGCTCAGCTGCCAGTGCCACGTCGGCTTCGGAGGTCAGTCGGCTTGCTCGCGGCAGCATTGGTGTGCTCGCATGGCCAGCTCTGTGTAGCCGGCTGTGAGCTCAGCAGACGTATTTCGCACACGTTAGTTTCCAATCGCCGCACTGCTAGTTGTCGTGCATTGTGGTGCTGAATTTTAGTTGGAAATGTCAAATGTTGTAGAATATGTGCTGCGGCGTCATGTGTACACGATCAAGGCAATGAGCGCTCGCCTCTAGTTCGGGGGCGATTAGCTTTCTTGCCTGCCATATCTCGCAGATGACCTGACATTCCTCTGATTATGACCCTCGGAACCCAGCCGGTGGGCTGTGCTCTGACCTGTGTTTTGGTGGCGGCAGGCGAGCTGTGCTCGGAGCTGGTGAATGAGTGCGGCCGCTCGCCGTGCGCCGAGTACCAGACATGCATACCGGACGCCTCGGCGGCGGGCTTCAGCTGCCGGTGTCCGGAGGGTCGCACCGGCCCCCGCTGTGGCCTGCTCGCCTCCGAGTGCCGCCAGGGCCAGTGCTACACGCCGCGCGCGCCGTTCTCGCTGGATGGCGACGGGTACGCCGAGTACCGTCTGCTGGAGCCGTCCGAGCGGCGCCTCACCCTGGAGCTGAGCCTGCGGACGCGGCAGCCGACCGGCACGCTCGTCTACTCGGCCGGCGGCGTCGAGTACAGCATCCTTGAGGTCAGCGTCTTGTCTGTGCTGATGGCAGCTGGGAGAGAGAGACGAGAGGGGGTACGAGAGGACGGACGAGAGAGGGTACAACACGTCAAAGGTAGCTGGCGTAGCTTGTTGTGCAGTCACCGCTTCTTTGTGGCCACGTGGAGAAGCTGACTCAAATATGGCAGAAGCTTTGTCATTTTGACCGTGACACCCGCCTTGGCTCTGAAAATCTCTGATGGTTCTCATCCTTTGTAAACAGCGTAGGCTTAATTGCATATTGGTTGACGTATTGTCGGTTTGATCTCCTTCCATTTGCGTGGTTGCTGTTCTGCTGTGCGTTATTGCATGCATAATTATGATATCATAATGGGCCTTACTCGGATTTCAGATTGTGAACGGTCAGCTTCAGTACCGTTTCGACTGCGGCAGCGGTGAGGGGCGCGTCCTGGTGCCGGACATGCAGTTCAACGATGACCGGTGGCACAAACGTGCTCGTGAAGAGGTTCGGCAACAGAGCTGAGGTGCTGGTGGATGGACGCTATGGTGCACAGGTGAGGACCCCATCATTCCCGGCTCATAACTGAAGCACGCAGGCGGGCATACAGTGTGTTGTAAACCCGCCTTCTTAATGACATATCATGGGGTGTCAATGATGGCTATTGGTTGGGGCCGGGCATTTCTACCAGACTTGCGGGCACTGTGTTCTTGACATGTAGCGTAGCGTTTCCGTCACCCCGACACACCAGCGGCGGACTGTTTGTCTGATTGCGTGCCGTGGCTGCAGGGCGCGGCGCCCGGCTTCTACGAGGTGCTGAGCGTGGGCCAATGGACTGATGTTCGTGGGTGCTGTCGTGCGACCCCGGCCGGCTCGGACGGCATCGCGCGAGACGGAACGCGGCTTCGCCGCTGTCTGGACAACCTTCAGCTGGACGGCCACCGGCTGCCGCTGCACGCGCGCGACAGCAGCCGCTCGGCGCGGCCTGCAGCAGAACGGTGCGTCTGTCGGCCCGCTGCCGGGCCGAGCTGGGCCGAGCGGACGCCTGCGGCCACCAGCCCTGCACTGAACGGCGGCCGCTGCTCGGCGACCCGCCGCCGCAGCCGGCGGCTTTAGCTGCGCATGCGCAGTCCGCTTCCTCGGCGAGCGGTGCGAGCAGGACACGGACCCGTGCGCCTCATCACCCTGCCTCCACGCGGCGTGTGTACCAACGTGGCCGGTGGACTACCGCTGCGACTGTCCGGTGCGTCTTGTCGGGCAGGCGCTGCCAGTACGGCCTGCACTGCAACCCCAACCCGTGCCGCAACGGCGGCGCCTGCGAGGAGGGGCGCGTTCGGACCGCTGTGCAAGTGTCGCGGCTTCACCGGGCCCCTGTGCACGGTGGACGTCAACGAGTGCCTGCAGAGTCCGTGCCGCAACGGCGCCACCGTGCGTGAACGTGCCGGGCGCGTTCCGCTGCCTGTGCGCGGCCAACTGGACGGGCACGTACTGCGGCCTGACGGCGGCGGCGCCGGCCGCCCGGCTGCCCATCACGCTCGAGCACATCGTCGGCATCGTGGCGTTCGTGCTGGCGCTGTTTCTGTGGTGCTGCTGGTGGTGTGCTGGCGCCAGTCGCGGCGCAAGCGCAAGCCCGCACGCCGCGCCACCCGCTGGCCGGCAACCAGGACGCCTCGAACGAGATCCTGCTGCAGAACATCAAGCCAAAAACCAGCGCGGCGAGTACAAGCGGATGTCCAAGGTGTCCAACTTGGAGGCCAACAGCTCGGTACGTGCGCTGTCACTAGGTGTCGACGGACGTCATTGCCCGATGTGAACACTTACGTGTCGCCGGTTCACAGCCAGGCATGCCATGTGCAGACTACTTTCACGTACTCGGGTTAACGACCGAGAGGTTTCAGGCACGTAAACACAGAGGAGAGTCAGGTGTTGAGATGTTTTCTAGCTCAGAGATGTATATCAGGTGAAATGTACGGAGGTTACGTTCGTTACATACGCTGTTCAGGCTCGACCCCATGTCCTTGTGGGCACCTGTTTCCATGTGTGTCCGGCAGGTGGCAGCGACTCTGCCGGTCCGTCCGGCCGTCGTTCACCGGCGGAGCCAACAACCGGGCCTCCGAGCCGCAATACTCGACGCTCAACAACCTGGACACCATCCGCAGTTACGGGTCGGCAAGCCGACGACCTGGACGGTCCACCGCACAGCGCCTGCCAGTACTTGCAGGTCAGTTAAGCCTTCCCAGACCTGGACGGTCCACCGCACAGCGCCTGCCAGTACTTGCAGGTCAGTTAGACCTTCCCGGGCCTGGACGGTCCGCCGCACAGCGCCTGTCAGCACTTGCAGGTCACTCGCAGCGCCTGTTTGGCGTCCTGTTGTTGTGGTGAATGTTCTCCTAGTGCGACGTGTGACCTCTGACGACCTCTCCGTTTCTGTGTTCAGAACTTCAACAAGCCCACGGCGAGTGTGGCGCCCTCTATGGCGGCCACCAGCCTCCGACATGAGCGCCACCAACACTCTGGAGAAGTCCCTACCGGGACATGGACAAAACATCAAGCCCTCCTACTACGACATGCACAAGATACAGAACGGTACGCGTCTCATGGCTGTCTGCGTGGCCCGGTCTATATGTAGGCAGTGTTCGTGTCTGGATGAAGCCCGATAGGCTTGGATTTGGTGGCCCGCGGGAAACCGTGACATCTATTATTTGTATCGATCGTACGTTATGAGGACCTAACCTGGTGGTGATGGTGGTGGTTGGTGGTCCATCTGGTGATCTCAGGACTGGTGACAAGCATTAGGCGTGACGCGTTGCCCCCCGCTGTCTGTGCAGACCTGACGGACCCGCAGCTGGCGGCGCTGAACAGGATCCAGCTGCCGCCGCTGGACAAGCCGCGCCGTGAGGGCGGCGCCACCGCTCTCTCCTCCCCGGAAACGCCAGGTCAGCTCCCGCCGCATGACGCCTGTCAATCGGTTGCTGGCCAGCTTTAAGTTGTGAATGACACTCTCCTCACGCCGCTGAGCCTATGCTCATATCTGCACCCTTCTAATGAATGGGTGCTCCTTCGTGCCGGCTTCTGATCATGTGTTTGTGCTGGTCGTGTGGATTCAATGTTTCATACTCCGTTCCCGGTCGGGTTTCAGCTGTCTACCCGGCGTCATTTCAGACTAACAACGCCAACGTTCCTTGATGTACAACCCAATGATGTTGATGAACGTACGCCAACGTTCCTTTCAGATTACCACTGGGACTGTTCGGACTGGGTTCGCACCAGTCAGAATCCCCTGCCGAACATCACCGAGGTCACCGGGTCAGAGGTCAAGGACACGTCCAGTTACCATAGCAACGAGAGCAACGAGAGCAACACTGCTGTTCGCGCCCCTGCCAGTGAGTAAAACCGACTTTTGCGACGCCATGGTTGCGACTGAGTCTTCATATGGAGATAAATCGTCTCAGTCTGCGACATGCCTTGCATTTCGGAATGCTTTGTGAATTGGATACATACACATTGTGGATGGAGTGTGCTTTAGAGATGGGAAACTCAACGAAGCGTTTTGTAAGCTGGGGAAAAGTGCGTTATACGCTACATTCGCATGTGGGAACGCAATTAAGTCAGTCGTGCTCACGTTCAGCTTCAAATACACGGTAAGGTGAGACTCCCGCGTCGTGCATTGGGCAATTTCAAATGAAACTGCTATCTTGCTGAAGTCTGAGTTTGAGGACAGACGTGACTGGCAGAATGTCCGAAGCGTATCTGTTCGAAACTTCACGCACGTATGTTGGCTAGTTCACATGTGTGAACCTGGGCATTTTTCTTCGACGGTTCTGTGCCCCCTTCCAGGTGTCAGAAGAAGATACGAAACAGGAGTATAGACTAGGCTATAACATAATTTATTGAATTATCTGCAACACTTTCTGGCGCTGCTGCAATCCTTACTGATGGCTACTTCGGTCGCAAGTGTCAATGCGCAGAAAAAGGGGTCGGACGTTTGTGTGTCGGCAACAGCTAGCTCAAAGCATCCTGGGCTCCTCTTTGATGTCTCAACTAACATCCCCAGCTGATTGTTCGATGTATCTGATCACGAGATCACGAGACAGCGAGTCTGGGAACACGTGGCCGGACATTTACTTGCAACACGACATAACTGGCAGCTTTTTCTGCTAAGGTCCGATTTTGTACACTGACACTCAGATATAAGTCCGTGCCCCCCCCCCCCCCCCCCCAAGTACTGAGAGCTGGGTGGAACAGCGGCCAGACAGCGTGGTTGTTTGAGGAGAGGCCGCAGCCGCTGCTGAGTGGTGCATAGAAACGGGACTGGGGCTTTCAAGTAAGGTGTTTTTTGTGCTAGCTTGTCTGCTTCTGCGAAGCCTATGAGCACATTATATTTGGTTGCTGATCAAGACGATGGCTTGATTCAGTTTTCACCTTATTCCTAACGCCGCTTAAACCAATGAAGTTGATAGACCGTACGTTCAGTTTGCTGCTTTGAGTCGGAATTGTTTTGCCAACGGAACAGATTTTTGTTGTCTTTGGTTGTCGGTTTCGGTTACGGGCCCATACAGCCTGTTGATCCCACCCCCCAATACCGTTCTTATGCTCGAGCACTACCTCCATAGCAGTGCACCACACTTACGCTGCAATTTGCACGAGAGTATACCTGTGATCAGTTTATGAACGAGATTTTGCCGATGATGAATATCCCCGGTATCGTAGCCAAATGAAAATAACCGATTGTCGCAATGTTCGCTAGTTTGCGTATGTCGTACCATGATCTCAAATTGACGTTTCGTGAATGCGTTTAGTCCTATTGGGTTCAAGCATCGCTCAAAATTGAACATACTTTATATTACATCACGTCTATGTATGCCAACCAAAAAGAATTATCCACAATGAGTTGGCAATTCATCATATCCGTTTATGAATTTGGACCACCTTTACCTAACGTTCTGTTAAAAACCGCTAGTTTTGAAATTAACGAAACGCAACTGAAAACTGTAACTTCCGCCCCAATCTGGAGCATGCAACGCGTGCAGCTTCATGACGTCCTGTGCTGCGCAGGCGTGGCCATGGCGGACGACGACGACGTGCTGGAGACGCTGAACGAGGACCAGACGTCCGACTACGTGGGCGAGGGCGACGGCGACGACATCACCTCGGACCTGGACACGCTGCCCGAGCCGACCGACTTCGACCGCATTCTGTCGGCTCACGGCATCGAGCTGGGCGGCTCGGCGTCCGAGCTGTCGTCGGTGGCCGGCGGCGACCTGGCCTACGGCCTGGCGGCGCACCCCAACCTGTACCTGCCGGCGCACAGCGGCGCCGACACGGACGGCGAGGCGGACGGTCTGCTGCACCGGCTGGACAGGTGAGCCACCCTGTGACGGGGCTCACTGGGAACGCCGGCGGCACGTTCAGCTGGGCACCGGGATGAAAGTCAGCGTCGTCTTGGAGCTGAGCAATGAAGTTGGCACTAGTCGCTATGACCAACCTGTACTTCAAACAACACAGCGTGACGTGATGTACTCAGAAGTCAGCTACGGCCCTGACCGTCCGTGTCCCGTGCCGCGCAGGTACCGGTACCCGGCGCGCAACCGTCTGCCGCTGCAGCTGGGCACGTACGCCGAGCTGGAGTCGCTGACGGCCGGCAGTCAGAGCGAGGACGGCGGCCAGCTGTGTGACATCGAGTCGGACGACGCCAGCTCGCGCATCTGACGGCGCCCGGCCGGCCGGAGCTGGGCCGCGATCTCAGAGGCCGGGCCGGCCGACGGCCGACGGCGCGCGGTGGGACGGGCGGCGCCGGACCCGCCGGCCGGCCGGGCCAGCTCGGAGGAGACACTCGCGCTCAGGTCGGCCGGGCTGAGGCTGGCCCGCCGGCCCAGCGGCCGGCACATTCCGACGGCGGCCCTCCTGACGGCGGCCACCTGAGTGCTGGGAGTCCCCGGGCAGCGTAACTCCTCGAGAGACAGTCCTTTGAGGACCGTCCTCGGAGTTGCACCGCGATGCGTCGGGCGCCGTGAGATGGGCTTCCGACTGTGTGGTGCTCCGATCCTCAGCCGTGATCGACACACCCCGTCGTTCGCGGCTGTGGCTGGACGGAGCCGCGGCTGACGGGTCCTCGTGAGAACGTCGTGCAGCCTGCAGACAGCTCCGCTGTCGTGTGTTGTGCGTTTTCCGATGGTGGCTGCGCGGGCGTCCGGCCTGGAGCCACGTCAGCGCAGGCTGCCGCGTAACGAGCTTTAGTTTGATTTGACCTTAGCCGAGATTATGCGATGGAGCAGTCCCAGTCATGCACTGCCATTGTAGCAGTTTAATTTCGTCCGCATGGGTGGCGCTTGCTGCGTGAAGTATTGGCCAAACTCCGCTGAGATTCCAGTACAAAGTGCATGAATGGTGCTACTTTGTACCCATTTTTACTTAACGACTGCTCGGAACAGCGTCGGATCGGGCGTCAGCTCTGTGTTTTGTTATTGACTGGTGGCCTCGCTTCCGGGAGACCACATTTAGTTTAGCGTTCATGACATGTAATCTGTTAGTGCTCTCTCGCTGCTTTTGGTTCACTAATTTCTGCCCCGCGTTGGCATTTCGCCAGCGAGAGTGGGCTTGCTCCCAGTGCCGCCAGCAACTCCCCGTGTTCTGTACCCGGTGGCGAGTGCATGCATTGCCGTTACCGCGGAGCAGCCGCACGCGTACTGCACGCCTCTTTTCGTGTGCCGCGCATGCTGTGACGTCACGCGCCGATCGCCGCTCGGCTGCGGATCATGCATGGACGACTCGCCTGCTTCTGGACCCACCGGGCGTAGGCTCGTCTGGCTGCGACCCGGAAGGAGACGGCCGCCCGCGATCTGCGTCAGGAGAGCCGTGTCTGACTGATGTGTCCGTGCGTGCTGCTCGGAGCGACTGCTGGTGGTATTTGTGTTTAAATGCGCCGCTGCGGTGAGAGCGGACAGGTCCGCCGGGCTTTTGTGACCACGTGCCATAACTGTGATACATTCTGTACATACTGCATTCTATGCCTACTGGTTTTTTGTACATAAATGTTTTGTATGGAGTGGTGTCTCATTTATTCAGTTCGACGAAGGTTAAACTTTTTGCGTCGTCCAATGTCCGAAAGCGAATCCAATCGAGCTACATCTCAAGGTGATGCACTCAATGCAGGTTCATACGTAACGAGAAACACGTCCAAACAAGACAGCCGTTCCCTGTCCAGTTTTGAGCACTCCTAACGCTCCTGTCTTTTATGTGGGTCTCAAGGAGTCTTTTCAAGGAGGCGGGGAGATTTTTCAAACATAATGGGAAAGCGAATCCTGCCTCGGTGAGATACAGGCAACGCCATGTAGCCTCAGCAGTTGAGTGCGTTGTGAAGCCCCAATGACACACGAGGCCAACTGTCAGTATCTGACTGCATAAGTTCACGATTGCCGAGCTCTCCATTCGGCGTCCACGCTCGAAAGTAACATACGGTCGTCGGCGTCTCATACATTTTCCATATCTCTCGCGGCAGGGGCGGATCCAGGAAGCTTGATTGGGGCGCATTTTTATCGAGGGGCGCCATGAGATCCAGCTGTTGACCGACCACCGTTGCGCACGGTTATCGCTCCCAGTGGTGTAACCTTCACCTGACCTCATGGTGCATGGCACATTGTTGCTGCGCGAGTAAAGCGGCCCGGCAGGGCATTGGAGCAAATGGGCTGAAAGATGTCGGCAAAGGTCGATAGGCAGCTGTGTATGACTTGTCAAGTGTCATGACGATGTCAAGTCAATGAAGGTCATGTCAAGACGATGTCAAGTCAAGTCAAGTCATGTCATGTCAAGTCACTCCATGTCAAGACGATGGAGAACTCCAGCGAAGCCGGCAAGCGCCGGCGGCTCTCGGACGGGCAGTCTCCAGCCCAGTCCCAGTCATCGCTCTCGGAGGTGACCCGCGTCAGCTCAGAGACGTGCGTTGGGAGGAGTTCTCCATCTGAAGTCACAGATGGGGTTATCGGGGATCTGAGACTTGATGAAAAAAGCATTGGGGACCCTGACATTCCTCACTGAGCCAGAGCTTGAGAGAGATCATAGAATAATAGAGCAAGAACGACACACAGAACGAAATGGAGACATGGAGTCGCTCAAAAATAAAATACTTCATAGGAAATCGGAAACACTCTGATGTTCTCCGGTCCAGCCGTCCCTCGCAAACGGGGACTCGCCCCGGGCTGATCGAGGGCGGCGCCAGGGACTCGTCCAGGGTAGGCCACCCTGCCTCCCGCGGTCCCCGCAAGCCAGGACTGATCGAGGGCGGCGCCAGGGACTCGTCCAGAGTAGGCTGCCCAGCCTCCCGCGGTCCCGCGAGCCAGGACTGATCGAGGGCGGCGCCAGGGACTCGTCCAGGGTAGGCCACCCTGCTTCCCGCGGTCCCCGCAAGCCAGGACTGATCGAGGGCGGCGCCAGGGACTCGTCCAGGGTCGGCTGCCCAGCCTCCCGCGGTCCCGCGAGCCCGGGTTGGCTGCGAGTAGAGCCAGCGGCTCAACCGGAGTGGGCAGGTACCTATCGGCCGGCGGCAGAAAGACCCCAGCTGGCCGTCGCCGGGCGCCGCTGAACCGCCACCTTCCACCAGTGACCGACCGGAAGACATCGAAGCAGTGGTGATCAACTTGATCAGGGAAAACTTAGCGATCGAAGTGAGGAGGGGTGACACTGATCCCGCTCACCGGACGTCAGGCGGCAACGCGATCGTCTACCGCTTCATCAGCGGCGACCCACCATCGCTGAAGCAGCAAATCAACGATCAACGAGTCTTCCGTGGGGGAGCAGGCCAGAAATCGTCTGTCCGTTAAGGAGCTGTTAACACAGAGAAGACAACAGACATTTTGCTAGATTGTAAAGAATATATATATATATATATATATATATATATATATATATATATATATATACACGTTATTCAGCTAGGAGGAGATGTTATTTTTAAAGGAGCAAAAACTTGGTGTAGAAGTAAGGCGGAACTTAAAGCTTGTTTGTATTGTTCTCATTTAATCCCCCGGTACGCATCAGCTTAATTTGTAATCTGCGCGAGTCTTCACTTGAAATTAGGGTTCAAAACATCATGCTTGCGAGTTGGAAGAGTAGCAGTTTATCCGCGATGTGCGCGGTCCTTGATGTAGAATTGGTAAACAAAACTGACGTGTATTGCAACTCGCGCAGGATCACCGGTCGGTTCATTTCGGTACTAACACGAGTCTTTACGGAAAATTGGAGTCCTCATTGATCTACTTTTTTATTCGATGCGTAGCTGCTTACTTGCGGTGGATTTCCACCGCGTTTTTATGTCAATGCGGTGGAAAAATTCCCTGACATTGCGACTCGTTCCGTACCACCGGTCAGCTTATTAAGAGATCAGACCTCTACGAAGAACTGGAAACAGAAAAGACTGACTTCGTCATTCGACACGTAACACGACACAAGCAAGGGGTAGAGTTTTTCACACTCAGGGACACTCAGACCTCAGATGTATTAACGAACTGACACCTACGCATGCACATCACCACCGGGGCACCACGTACTCTGTTATAGATCTGGCCTTGACAATACCACGCGTAACACCACTCTTTACGCACAATGTTTAACTGGACCTGCATTTTAGTGACCACTACCCAATCCACATAACTTTAGAGGTCCCATCAGGGCAAAGGGCCTCAATTCTCTTCCGCGATAGACTGTTTGCAGAGCGGGGCTGGGCATCTTTCCAAAGTCATATAGACGAGGCACACTCCCCAGGCTTAACTTCAGACCTCCCTACATTTCTAAACAAGATTTTAGCCTCAGCGCACCAGTTCGTTCCCCTCACTCATCGTCTACCTGGGCATAACCATGCGCCTTGGTGGAATGATAAGTGTCAGCACGCAGTAGCACTGGGACGCCGCGCTATGCGTGCCTTTCGTAGTTGCATTTGCATAGCTTATGGAAAGGAGTTTCGCGTAGCTAAACATCAAGCCGATACAATCCTTAAAGCGGTAAAACAGAAAAATTTGGGGGCAGTTTTCGAATGCGTTCAACCGCTTTACCCCGCTATCTAAATTATGGTCACTGGTTGGATGTTTCACAAACAAGCGCACGCCATATCATAAAACCGCGCACCTTGTAATCAGCAATCAACACTACAGCATCCCATTCGAAGTCGTCACAAAATTTGCCGCACGCGTCGCCCTTGTATCACCGTCCGAACAGTATTCCCAATAGGTCACTAACACACTCAACGGCACACTGCTCGCACTCAACTTCACGTCTGTTAATACTGAGACATTCGACCGTACTATTCACAGCTTATGAATTAGACCTTGCAATCAGTAAGTGTGGAAACACTTCTGTTGGTCCAGACCCGTCAGCCTACGCTTTCTCTAAAAATCTCACTAGGTCTGGACTCACCAATCTTCTTTTGGCTTTTAATTATGCGTGGGTTAACGGATTCTTCCCTCCCCCTGGCGCTCTAGCACACTTGCCCCTATACTTAAGTATTCTAAGCCTCCCTCTGACCCTTCGAGCTATCGCCCTATCATTTACTTTACTATCATTTACTAACTGTGCTTCTAAAATATCCGAAGGAATGGTCATCGAACGTATCAGGATGTTCCTAGAGTCAAATTACCTTCTTTTACTTTTCAGAACGGCTTTCGTCCCGGCCGCTCCACGGCGGACACCTTGGTCCACATTACAGATTCCACTCAGCTCGGATTTCAGGCTAAATCAAATACGGTGACACTATTTGTGGGTTTAAAGGACGCTTTCGACAGGGCAAACACAAGTGCCCTCCTGATTAAACTGCATAAAATCGGAGTTCGCGGCCGAATTGCAGCTTTCATTAAAAACTTCCCAACTGATAGGACGTTTTCTGTGCGTTGCGGAAATGCCTATTCTTCCCCGACGGCGCAGGATCACGGTCCTCCTCAGGGCAGTGTCTTATCTCCAACCTTCTTCCTCGTAATGATAAATAATGTCTTAATAACATTCATTATATTTCTCAACATTTTCCGCAATTCTCTGGACACGAACGACCTGGTTTGTTGGGATATGCATGCCGATGTCGAACACGCCCTGCATTATATACAGTTAGCTTAAATCTTATTCTGCGTGGTGT